TTTTCCAGGCAAAGAAAACCTGGAAGGGTTTTCATTTCCCACTAAACCCTTTCCTAAAAGGGTTGCCATTTCCTACTCCAGGAGATCTTCTCTACCTAGGGATCAAACCCACATCTCCTGTCTCCTGCATTGGCAGGCAGATTTTTACCACTGTGCCACTTGGAAACCCCCTAAATTCTGTTAGTTAAAAGCCACACAGTCTATGGTATTCTGTTAGAGCAGCTTGAATGGACTAAGACGTCCATGTTGTGTATGTGTGTGCTCAGTTGTGTTAGACTCTTTGAGACCCCCATGGACTGTAGCCTGCCAGGCTTCTCTGTCCATGGGATTTTCCAGGCAAGAATAATGGAGTGGATTACTGTTTCCTTCTCCAGGGGATCTTCCTGACACAGGGATTGAACCTGTATCTCCTCTGTCTCCTGCATTGAAGGTTGATTCTTTACCACTGGGTACAGTGTTAGACAAAATCAGAAACTTTATTCATATATGTCTCAACACATACAGTATAGACCTAGTTTTTTTTATCACTAAAGTTCCAAATTTTAGCACTAACTTTTAACTGTATTCTTTAATTGTGTTCTTCCTTCAAATATCCAACTGAAACTGTGCAACTCAGATTGGGACTTGAACCCACATTCTTATGACTGAGATCACACACCTGGTCTTAGGACTTAATGAAGCTCAGCTTCTTGATGTATCATGGCAGAAATAATTCAGTGAGAGACAAAGTAATAGGTAGAAATTGCTAGGCAGTCAGTTTAGGACTCAGACCTCATTTTTGTTTTCAATGAACATCTTGCTCCATTAATCTAAAGCTACACCCTTTGTCCCAAATTCCTGGAATGTGCCTTGGTCTGATAAATTATCAGGACTCAGATCCAGGTAAAGGCAGTAATTAACTTCTGTCACATATACCTGAGGGAAAAACAACTAGTGATCTTTAATCTTTAGCCCATATATCTGGTCCATTGTAAAAGGGCTGAAAGTGAAAGTCACTCAGTCATGTCTGACTCTTTGCGACCCTATGGAGTATGCAGTCCATGGAATTCTCCAGGCTAGAATACTGGACTGGGTAGCCTTTCCCTTTTCCAGGGGATATTCCCAACCCAGGGATCAAACCCAGGTCTCCCACATTGCAGGCGGATTCTTTACCAGCTGAGCCACAAGAGAAGTCCAAGAATATTGGAGTGGGCAGTCTATCCCTTCTCCAGCACATCTTCCTGACCCAGGAGTCAAACTGGGGTCTCCTGCATTGCAGGCGGATTCTTTACCAACTGAGCTATCAGGGAAGCCTGTAAAATGGCTAGGGGGCATAAAAAAGAGAGGCAACTAAATAGGAGGATCAGGAGAAGCCATAAAGATGTTAAGCTAAACATTGTGACCTTTAAACTGATTGGTTAAAAATGATGTATTTTAAGCACAGGAGCCAATCAAAAATGTACAGATTAATACTGGTAAGGATATAAACTGCTGTAAGTCTCACCTCCTGGGGTCTGTTTACCCACTCACAGTGTCTGGGTTGAGAGCTTTGCACTTTCCTTCTCTATAATAAGTCCTATTTGCTTACAACTGTGAGTGTTTGTGTGTTCGTGAAGTTCATTCTTTGGCTCCATGAATAAGAACTTGGATTCCCATTTCAGTAGGTAAGAAGTGGATTTATTTAGAGAGAAACACACTCCACAGACAGAATATAGGCCATCATAGAAGGCAAGGGCAGCACCAGGATATGGGGTTGTCAACTTTTATAGGGACAGGTAATTTCATAGATTAGTGAGTGGGAGGAGTATTCTAGCTATTTGGTTGAAGGGATGGGGATTTCCAGGAGCTGGGCCACCACCTACTTTTTGATCTTTATAGTCAGCCTTAGAACTGTCGTTGTGCCTGTGGGTGTGTTGATGTGTTACGTTGAGCATATACTGAGGTTCAAAGTCTAGCAGAAGTTGACTCATTTGCCATCTTGGACCTCAGTTCAGTTCAGTCACTCAGTCGTGTCTGACTCTTTGTGACCCCATGGACTGCAGCACTTCAGGCTTCGCTGTCCATCACCAACTCCCAGAGCTTACTCAAACTCATGTCCATCGAGTCGGTGATGCCATCCAACCATCTCATCCTCTATCGTCCCCTTCTCCTCATGCCTTCAATCTTTCCCAACATCAGGGTCTTTTCCATTCAGTCAGTTCTTCACATCAGGTGGCCAAAGTATTGGAGTTTCAGCTTCAGCATCAGTTCTTCCAATGAATATTCAGGACTAATTTCCTTTAGGATAGACTGGTTGGATCTCCCTGCAGTCCAAGGGACTCTCAAGAGTCTTCTCCAACACCACAGTTCAAAAGCATCAGTTCTTCAGTGCTCAGCTTTATTTATAGTCCAATGCTCATGAAAAGACCCTGATGCTGGGAAAGATTGAAGACAGGAGCAAATGGGGATGACAGAGGATGAGATGGTTGGATAGCATCACCAACTCAATGGACATGAGTTTGAGTAAATTCTGGGAGTTGGTGATGGACAGGGAGGCCTGGCATGCTGTGGTCCATGGGGTCGCAATGAGCTGGACACAACTGAGCGACTGAACTGGACTGAACTGAACTCTCACATCCACACATGACTACTGGAAAGACCACAAGTTTGACTAGATGGACCTTTGTTGGCAAAGTAATGTCCCTGCTTTTTAATATGCTGTCTAGTTTGGTCATAGCTTTTCTTTCAAGGAGCAAGCATCTTTTAATTTCATGGCTGCAGTCACCATGTGCAGTAATTTTGGAGCCCCCCAAAATAAAGTCTGTCACTGTTTCCACTGTTTCCCCATCTATTTGCCATGCACTGATGGGACCAGATGCCATAATCTTAGTTTTCTGAATGTTGAGCTTTAAGCCAATTTTTGCACTCTCCTCCTTCACTTTCATCAAGAGGCTAGTTCTTTGCTTTCTGTCAAAAAGGTGGTGTAATCTGCATATCTGAGGTTATTGATATTTCTCTCAGCAATCTTGATTCCAGCTTGTGTTTCCTCCAGTCCAGCATTTCTCATGATGTACTCTGCATATAAGTTAAATAAGCAGGGTGACAATATACAGCCTTGATGTACTCCTTTCCCATATTTGCTGGCATGTTGAGTGCAGCACTTTAACAGCATCTTTTAGGATCTCCTAAAAGATCTTGGATCTAGTGTTTCTAATCAGTTTATGTCATGTCTTGTGGCTATGTCAATACTTGTAAAGGTTGTTTCTGCCACATCCCTCTTGTTTCACAATCAGTCAAATTGTGTAGTTTCTATCTTTACAGTCCTTCATTTCTAATCTCAGTGTCCCACTCTTTCTACATCAGGGCTTTGTTAATTACCCACTACCTGGATGTCTTGGTCCCTTCCCCAGTGACTCAGCAGTAAAGAATTTGCCTGCAATGCGGTAGACACAGGAGACACAGTTTCCATCTCTGGGTTGGGAAGATCTCTGGGAGGAGGAAATGGCAACTCATTCCAGTATTCTTGCCTGGGAAATCCAATGGACAGAGGAGCCTGGCCAACTACAGTCCATGGAGTTGAAAAAGAGTTGGACATGACTTTGCACACACACACACACACACATACCACGGATGTCTTTGTCCATTCAGGCTGCTATAACAGTATCACAGACCGAGTCGTTTTTAACTAACAAATTTATTTCTCATGGTTCTGTAGGCTGGAAATTTAAGATCAGGGTGCCAGCTTGGTCATGTTCTGGTGAAGGCAGTCTTCCAGGTTGCAGATTGCTGACTTCTTGCTGTGTCCTTAAACTTGGGTGGCCACAGTCCGCAGTGGCTTGAAGCAGGACTTTGGCTCCTCAGCAGGAATTGAAGTCAGGGTATGGCAGTGAGATCCCTGAATCCTCGCCACTAGACCAGCAGAACCAGTGGCCAGTAACAAAGCCTTGGCCAGTTGGCTTTGTAGAAATGAATTTCCACAAAGAGATGGAAAGTAGTGAAGCAAAGTAAAGTGTTTAGAGAGGAAAGAGTACATGTGGATAGACACACATGAGTGGTCTCAAAGAGAGAGTCATGCCCTCCTGGTAGTTTGAATCACTTATATGGGGCATTTCTTCCCAGCTTCCTCTGGCCAATCATCTTGCTTTATCTGGGTTTGAGTCCATATTTGGTTTACCTTAGGGTCCTCGCATGTGTGGAGTTTCCTTGGTGGTTCAGTAGTAAAGAATCCACCTCCACTGTTGGAGATGGTTCAATCCCAGGGTTTGGAAGTTCCCCTGGAGAAGAAAATGGGAACCCACTCCAGTCTTCCTGCCTAGGAAATCCCACACACAGAGGAGCCTGGTGGGCTACAGTCCATGGGGTTGTAAAAGAGTCAGACACTACTTGGCGCCTAAGCAACAATGCCTAGCCCATAAGAAGTATTTTTAATTGTATTAAACGAATGGCACACCACTGTTTTAGAGCATTATGTAATCAAGCGCACATGAAATCAGGTTTAAGAAAAAAATTTTCTCACGAAGTATATGGATGAAATCTATAGAAAACTTACAGCGACGTTGTTGATAATCAGAAGGGACCAGAGGAAGCCACCTGCCACATTTGCACAGCGATTTAAAAAGCGTCCTCATATAAACTTTGATTCTCACAACAACCCTGCAAAGTACGCTCTAGAGGTATTATTAACTCTGGTTTACAAGGAAACCGGCCACCTAGGTCAAGCGTGATTGACTAAGGTGGAGCCGGGACGCTCTCCTCCGCCTCCCTGACCTAGGATCCTTCCCTGCCGCGCCTAGGCAGCCGCGAGCGGCGCTGGGGAACTCTGTTTCCTTTTCTTCCCCTGTGTCACGTTTGCAAACCCATTCTAAAGGCGCGGCCCGCCGGCAGGTGCACATCCAGGCGCAGGTGCGGGCGGCGGCCGACCAGCCCGGCGCCCTAGGCCGCGCGACCATAGAGTCCGGAAGTGCAGCCCCAGCGGTTCCCTGCGGGCGCCGCTTGTTCCCAGCCCCGGCCACGCACACGAGGGCCGCGCTCCGGCGGGCTGAATGGCCGCAGGGCTGGCCGTCAGGGTGGTCGCCGGACTGGCGGCCGCGGCCTTGGCGGCAGTGTTCTTGGAACACTACGGCCTGGCCGGCCGGTCTTCACCACTGCCCCAGCCCCGCAATCCCCGGCGCCCGCACCCTGCGCCGGGCCCCGGAGCCGGCAACATCTTCTGGGGTCTGCAGGTGACGCAGCGGGCGCCCAGGCTGGGGTGGTGGTGGTGGGGCGCCTGGGGTTTCAGGGCGGGCGCCAAGCGGCCTGAGACGCCGGCAGTGTCCACGCGGGCGCGACCCGCTCCTGTCCCGGCCCAATCTCTGCGCTGGGGGCGGAGTGGTGATGGTGGTGCTGCTGCTGCTAGTGCTTGGTCCTCCCCTGGGGGATCGTGAATGCTCCGAGTCTTTGCCTTTTTCTTCCGCCGGAGAAAGCCCCTGGGTCGTCTCGGTCTGTGCTGCCTCTTCCTGACTCAGATCTCTCTGTTCAATACCCGCTTTCGGCAGATATCAGACATTCACCTGAGCAGGTTTCGCGATCCAGGCAGAGCTGTAGACTTAGAGACGTTCTGTTCTGAAACTGTTGACATCATTCAACCAGCTCTCGTCCTAGCAACAGGTAGGGACGATTGCGTGCTGTCCTGTGGTCCTGTGGTCCCAATGGTAGAATGCAAGCAATGCTGCAACCTTTTAACTGAGGGACGTTAGGAAAACTCTAGCTGCAGCCTCAGGTGAGCCCTCCTCCTGTAGAGGAGGTGGGATATTGTAATTTCCTTTGCCTGTGGATAACTGAGTCAAGATCCGGGCTAAGTGACTTGCCACAGCAAGGTTTCGTCCTAGCGATAGAAGCAAGGCACGTGATTCTCATGTTCGTGTTCTGTCTGCTGTATCTGTATCTGTGTTGTCGTACTTCTAGATTTGAGAGAGAATTAAGGAAAGCCCTTTAACCAGGAATGAAAAGTTATCATCCTTCTCCTCGTATTCTTGTTCTTTTTTTTTTTTTTATTAAACTTTTCCATTTTCTTTGCAGCATTAATCAATCTTATACCGTCAGTTGTTTGATGGACCCTTTTTTTTCACCCCTTCCTACTTCTGTGACTTGGTTCCCTGGAGTATTCAAACCCCAAACCCTTTGCTCCCAACTGTGTTGAAGAAGAAGCTAAAGGAGCGTCTATCCTGGCCCTTGGGGAATTCTTCTTCCGCCCACCTTACAGAAACATCTCTGCCTATATGATGAAGCCCTCATTTTATGGATGATCTCAATTTCAAATGCTTAATTTCCTAGAAATTTTCTATTTCATTTTCCAAGCTACACCTTCCAGATTTTCTTGCTGTAGAATTAATGCTTTGTTGGATCACATTTCCTGATTTGGGGTTTGGAAAATTAGGTTGCCATAGATATTAGGCAACTGCACAAAGTGTTGGAATTTATTGTTAAAGAGCTTTCATTTTATCAGAGTTTCAAGATGCATTTTTACAGCTCTCTTTAAAGATATAGTTTTCATAACCCATTTCTAATGTAACAGGAGTTTAACTAGGCACTTGTTGACCTATAAGAAACAAAAAATCCATGCTGAGGATCTTGTTTTATTTTTTTTTAGGCTGCACTATGTGGCATATGAGATCTTAGGTCTCCAACCAGGAATGGAACCTGTGCCCCCTCCATTGGGAGTTCGGAGTCTTAACCACTGAACTGCCAGGAAGTCCCAAGAATCTTATTATTATTTTTTCTGAGAATCTTAATTTAGATGACTTGCTTTGGATGCAGGTGGATTCATAGTGGTTATCCTTAAACATGTTGAGTACTTTCAATATCTTTGCTTTTCAGTGTGTGTTAAAAAAAAAGTTGAACCCCAGTCCAGCTTTACTTTGCATTGTGATTACCTTCTTTTGTACACCTACAGGAGACCTGACAGATGCCAAAACAAAGGATAATTTGGGATCCATGCAGCAAGAGGTAGAATGGCAAACTTACCAGAGTATTCTGAAGAAGACAAAAGTCATGGAAAAAACCAAGTGGCTTGATATCAAAGGAAATCATGGTAAGAATGAAGTCCCACTTATAGTTAAGACTAGATCTTTATAGGAGCCCAGATTCTCCAATTTAAATGGTAAAATTATAAAATGGGACATTGTAACATAAGTTTATATACACTGAAGACCACAACTAAGAAATACAACTGTAATATGTGATTTTAAAACTTCAGATGTCGCTATTAGACCTTGAAGGGGAAGTTGGTATGGTTTCTTTCTTCTTTACATGGAAGAAAAGCATATAGCAAAATCCATGGAGGTGGATGTTTAAAAAGATATAATTTTTGCTGAGTGAAAGAAGCCAAATCCGTAAGTCTATATACTGTATAATTTCATTTATATGATATTCAAGAAAAGGCAAAACTAGACAGAGAACAGATTGTGGTTGCCAAGGGTTGGAGATAAAGAGGCTAACTACAAAGAACGATTGTGAGATAATTTTGGGGGGTGAACAGCACAGGTTGGGTGCATGAGACAAGTGCTCGGGCCTGGTGCACTGGGAAGACCCAGAGGGATCGGGTGGAGAAGGAGGTGGGAGGGGGGACCGGGATGGGGAATACATGTAAATTCATGGCTAATTAATTTCAATGTATGACAAAACCACTGCAATGATGTAAAGTAATTAGCCTCCAACTAATAAAAATAAATGGAAAAAAAAAATAAAGCTTATCATGTGGATGGATGAAAAAAAAAATTTTGGGGGGTGAAGACACTGTTATGTGTCTTGAGTGTGCTGGTAGATACATGACTGTATGCTTGTCGATGTCTTTAGAACTGTACATCACAAAGATTGAATTTTGCTATATATATTTAAAAATTTAAGTGACAAGTATATCCACATATGCATAGAAATGGATAACCCCTTCCCAATTTTTTAGATTGTGATTGTTACATTAATAAGAAAATGAACTATTTTCCAAGAGTCCTGATGGTAAATTTGTTTGTTTCAAAAAGGTTGACTTTCTTATTGGTTATGTAAGTATTTCATTCTGCTTCATTTTATTATTCATTGCTGATGAATACCTATTTATATATTTTTTCAAAAGGTATATTTATAAATTCTATCTGGTGAAATACACAGCTATTAGTTGGATCAGAAAATGCTCTCTATAAATGCAGTTGATCCTTTGCTCACTGCAACTAGAGAAAGCCCATGTGCACAACAAAGAAGCCCAGTGCAGCCAAAAGTAATGAACAAATAAATCTTTAAAAACAAACAAAAAAAAACACAGTTGACCCTTGAACAATGTGGAAGTTAGGGGGACCAACTACCAGGCAGTTGAAAATTCAGGTATAATTTTGCAGTTGGCCCTCTGCATCTACAGATTCAACCAACTAAGGATCTGTAGTACTGTAATATGTATTTTAGAACAAAATTCACCTGTAAGTGGATTTACATAGTTCAGATGTCAATTATAGTTCTTACAAATCGGCTAGAAATTAGAATTAAAGATATGATTCTGGCTTACAACTTTCTCTGGTATGTTTACATTCCCTTTTTTTCCCCTGATCTTAATTAGGGGTACTGGTCAAATTATTTTGGAATAAAAGGCAAATCTGTGTATATTAAAGTTTTCCAAGCCAAACTACTGATGTTTTTTTAAGTAACAGATATCAATTGGAGTTTTGTGATTAAATAACTTGGATAGTCTTTTGGAGTTCATAATCATTTAATTTGACTTGTATAGGCATAAATGTTTATGGTATATATATGTGTGTGTGTGTATGCATGTATACACACACACACATATATATATATACATACATAAATCTTTATTAAGATTTAACTGTAACAGGGAGTTCCTTGGTGGTCTAATGGTTATGACTCAGTGCTTTCACTTCTGTGGACTGAGTTCAATCCTTGGTCTGGAAACAGATCATGTAGGCCATGCCATGTGGCAAAAAACCCCCAAAATTTAACTATAACAGAGTTGTTCTCTTAAGCAAGAGGATTATATACATGATAATATTTCTTTTGGCCTAAATTGAATTTACAGCTTATTCTCTTAAGTTTATTAGAAATGTAGTGGATTCTTGGAAGTCAAAACTGATGAGCAATTTTAGCTATTACAATCAAGTAATCGAGCTCTATGAAATTCTATTTCCAGACAAGTATGATGTTCTTACCCTTTTTGCTTACCATTATATAACTTCTTTATTACTGAGTCTTTCTTAAGATTTAGGAAGAGAGGGGCTTTGGCCCTATTATCAAAGTCATCTGCTGTTTAGAAGTCCTTGACATGGATCTGTATATGAGCCATGAATCCAGTCCTTCTTGAGTTCCAGAGTCACATGATTAAAATAGTAGCAACAGTGGTCCAGTCTTACAATATCAAATTGATTTAGTCTCAGTAATGCATAGTTCAAAGTACTTATTCTTCAGTATACTAGATGCCTTAAATAAGTTTCCAGATAATCTGAATTCTATTAAGTTATGAAGTTTTAAAAATTAAAATTAAATGCCAGTCTAATTAATTGGCATCTATCATCTAAAGTGTTATTGAAAGAATTGTCATTTTTCTTCAGTCATTAACATGTTTGCATTTTTCTTTTTAATTTAGATGATGTTTGCTCTTTTCTTTTTAATTAGATGCATTCAACATTCCAAGTCTGGAGAGTGTTGAGAATTATTACAGGTACTGTAATGCACAGAAGATAGACAACAATATAGAGTTTGTGTTACAAAGAGGGTGCAGTCAATTCACTTAATGGGTGATAACATTTTTTAACAGAGAAAAGAACCTCTCATAATTTAAAAATGGAACCTTTTAGTTGTTTATCATTATTATTTTGGTGACTCATTTTTGTTTGCTTAGACCTCCCTTTATTCTTTTCATTTCATATAATTTGATGCTTTTTGTTGGCCAATGGTACTTTTAATAGTTTATACAGACTTTTTTTTTGCTGTTGATATACAGCAAAAGTCATTTAGATCAGAGCTTGTCAATCAGAGTACTGTGGACTTTAAGAATACTAAGCTACTGATTCTCTTAGCCTCTGGGGTGGCTGAAGAGCCCAGTTGGTCTCTTCTGGGTGCCTTGTCCAATATGTCATACAAATATTTTTTAAATTTATGTGCATGAATATGAAAAAGGCAATGAATATGAAAGGATCTTTGAATCACAAAACCAATTTTCTAGTTTCAGTGTATTGGAGTTCTTCTTTTGGCTGTAATTTCACTTTTTGTTCCTGTAGCTTTGTTCTACATTGTTTCAGTAGCTTTGTTCTACATTGTCAATTAGTCAAATAGCAAGTATCGAGTTTATCATTAGTTGGATAGTATGAGAGAAACAAATATGCCCTCTCTCTTCAAGTAGTGAGTCTAGCTAAGGTAGATGAAAATTGTTTAGGAAATGGTTAGAAAAGAACATGAAGGAATGGCTGATGAAATGCTAGATTATTTGTTACACTTAATTAGCACTATGAGAAATCAGAAAAGGCAGACATCAGCACGGGGTAGACATATAGCAGACTTTATTTTTCATTTTTGTTTTTCATTGAGGTATAATTGACATATAACATTATGTAAGCTTAAGGTGTGCAGTGTGTTAGTGTGATTCATTTATATATTGCAATACGATTATCACATAAGGTTAGCTAATATCTCTATCACTTCACATAGTTATTGTTTCCTTTTTGTGGAGTAAACAATTAAGATCTGGTCTGTTAACAACTTTGAAGTTTATAGTACAGTATTTTAAAATATAATTACTACACTGTGCATTAGATCTATTTATCTACTAGTTGCAAGTTAGAAAAGACTTTGTGAAAGTAGTGAAAATTGTGTCCAGTCTTAAAACATGGATAGCCTTTGGAGGAGTAAGAAATCTGAGGGAGGTATATTTTAGGCAAAAGGATGAGTATAAACAGAGCTTTAAAAACTAGAATGAGGTTTTGAGTGCAGTAAGGAAACTGTTATCATCAGAATAAAGGTTCATTTTGAAGACTGATACAACATTGGATAGAGAGTGTAGAGCCAGTTCATCGTGGTGTCAAGTGACAAGCATAGAAATTTAGATGTGATGGGTAATAATAGTTTATAATCCAGTATAGGTTCCTAAGGAGATTAGCAACATAGGAAAATAGTATTTTATAAAGGGCAGATACATAACAAAATAGAGATAGGGATAAAAAGAAAAAGGGAGAGATTAGAGTTGTATAGACCAAGTAGAAAAATCCTGCAGTAGTCTAACCATCATAAGGAAAAGGTTGGAAATGAGTAGAAAACCTGTCTGAACAAGGATCATGGATATGGGGATGGTGACATGAATTTGAGGATGTTAACTGGTAAACAGATAGAGTCACCATAACATGGAAGAGGGGGTTGTCCTCTTTTGTTAAAGTGAGAAAGGAGAAGGACAGAGATGAAAATCTCCCACTTCTTATTAACTGTTTGTATCTTTGATGGTGATTATGGGAATGGGCTTAAGAGACATTTTCAAAGAATTAACAGGATTTAGGGTCTGATTAGTAACTGGGAAAAGTCAAGTTATTAATCACTTTAAAGTTTCTTACCTTTATATTTTTGTTTCTAATCATTATTATCTGGATTTAATAAATGACACTTAGCTAGAGACCAGGCATTATGGAAGTATCATATGAAAGGAAGGAAAAAAATGGAAGGGAAAAAATCTTGAGGTTAAATCGTGATCTCTAGAATGCCTCAGAGATGCCAAAATCCAGAATTCAAAGACTATTGTATATTTTAACCTCCGCTTTCAAATACCTGAATTTTATTTTAGATAGTTGGATTTTAATATGTCAAAAATGTAGGAAAGGAAACAATACATATGAGATTATAAGATCTTGAAGAATAACTGGAAAAAAAGGCAGGAAAAATATCAGTACAAATTTTAATGAGGAAAATCCCTGAGATAGAAATTTTAAAAATATCAGGAAGAGAGGTAATAGAACTGATTGACTATTAATTGTAATATCTGTGACAGTATATTTATGATATATTTGATAGTTGTTGTTGCTTAAAAATAGCTTCCTGATGGCACATTAAATTTCAGAAGTTTATTTGTATTTATTTCACATATACTCTTAGGTAAAATATCATACAAGACACTCAGATATTTTCTTATCTGACATTTGAATAATAAAGGTCTGCTCCAAATATTGGAGAATGAAGTGGCAACCCACTGCAGTATCCTTGCCTAGAGAATCCCATGGACAGAGGGGCCTGGTGGGCTGCTGTCCACAGGGTCGCACAGAGTCAGACACGACTGAAGCGACTTAGCATGCATGCATGCATTGGAGAAGGAAATGGCAACCCATTTCAGTATTCTTGCCTAGAGAGTCCCAGGGACTGAAGAGCCTGGTGGGCTGCCGTCTATGGGGTCACAGAGTGGGGCACAACTAAAGCGACTTAGTAGCAGCAGCAGCAGCTCTAAATATAATCTCTACTTTCTTTCACATTTATTCAGCAAATACTCAATGAGTGCCAAGCCTGTACACTTTGTTACCCATCCTTTCTCCTTGCTCTTCAGTCTCCATCTTATTGGACACCTGAATACTGTTGATACTTAAGGTGATTGGGACTTTCTTTACTGGATGTGGACCCTGTGTATGTTTTCAATATATTTTTAGAAACTGAAAAAAGATTTACTGGTTCTGACTGAACATTTTTCTCCTGGCTCAATAACTTCTTCTTTGCAAGGCTTTATTGTGACTTAAGCCTTTGCACTCCTGTTTTAAGAACTCAACACTTTTGTATCTCACTACACCAAGAATTCTGCTAGGTACTTAGCAGGCCCTCACTACAATATTTTTTGACTTACCAGGTGGTGCTAGTGGTAAAGAACCCGCCTGCCAATGCAGGAGATGTAAGATATGAGGGTTTGATCCCTGGGTTGGGAAGATTCCCTGGAGAAGGGAATGGCAACCCACTCCAGTATCTTTGCCTGGAGAATCCCATGGAGACAGGAGCATGGCAGGCTACAGTCTGTTGGGTCTCAAAGAGTTAGACACAACTGAAGCCACTTAGCACGCATGCACTATAATTTTTAATGGTTGATAAGTACCATTTCCTTGGATTCTGATTTATCTCTTTTAAAATGTTTAGTGGACTGCTTAAGTTAGCCACCTACTTTTCTGCTTTGCTTGGTGACCTTGTGCTTGGTTACTGATGAATACGTTTGTCTGTATCTTTCCCTGGTGGCTCAGAGATTAAAGCGCCTGCTTGCAATGCGGGAGACCTGATTTCAATCCCTGGGTCGGGAAGATTCCCTGGAGAAGGGAATGGCAACCCACTCCAGTATTCTTGCCTGGAGAATCCCATGGACAGAGGAGCCTGGTGGGCTACAGTCCATGGGGTTGCAAAGAGTTGGACATGACTGAGCGACTTCACTTTCACTTTCACTTGGAGACAATAGGAAAAAAAAATTAATTGTTTTATCCATTGTGGGTCTGGTATCTAGTTTTGTTTATTTCTCTGTCAGATCACAGAAATTTCTTTTATAAAGGGAGTCAAAATATAGTGTGATAGTAGGTTAGGAATTTAAACTCATTCTGTTTTCTTATGATTGCACTAAAGCTTTCTTGTCTTGTATTTTTTTAGGAAGTATTCTGCTGTACGGAGGGATGGCTCTTTTCGTTATGTCCACAGTACTCCCTTTGGCAACTATTCTTTCATCTCTTTGGATGCCACCCTTAATCCAGGGCCTAAGAGACCTTTTAATTTCTTTGGAATTTTAGATCAGGTACAGTAAAAATCCCACTTCCCTTTGCAGCTAACCTATTTTATTTTTTTCAGATGCATGTGGCTCACTTAAAGTTATCCTAGGTAGACAAATTCTTATCTAGAAATGCTTGAGCAAAGTTCTACTGTGGTTTCAGTTATGGCTAGAAGAAATTATTGACTCCTTCAACCCTATTATTACTATCCCTGTCCTTGTCCCAAAACCTGGGAAAGGAATAACTCACATTTTATATCATTAAATTAAAAGGTGCTTGCTTCTTGGAAGGAAAACCATGATAAACCTGCTGCTGCTGCTGCTGCTGCTTAGTCGCTTCAGTTGTGTCTGACTCTGTGAGACCCCATAGACAGAAGCCCACCAGGCTCCCCCGTCCCTGGGATTCTCCAGGCAAGAACACTGGAGTGGGTTGCCATTTCCTTCTCCAGTGCATGAAAGTGAAAAGTGAAAGGGAAGTTGCTCAGTCGTGTCCGACACTTAGCAACCCCATGAACTGCAGCCTACCAGGCTCCTCTGTCCATAGGACTTTCCAGGCAAGAGGACTGGAGTGGGTGCCATTGCCTTCTCCAATGACAAACCTAGACAGCATATTAAAAAACAAAGACATCTCTTTGTTAGCAAAGGACCATCTAGTCAAAGCTACAATTTTTCCAGTAGTCATGTCATGTATAAATGTAAGAGTTGGATCATAAAGAAGGCTGAGCACAGAAGAATTGATGCTTTTGAATTGCGGTGCTGGAGATGACTCTTGAGAGTCCTTTAGATTGCAAGGAGGTAAAACCAGTCAATCCTGAAGGAAATCAACTCTGAATATTCATTGGAAGGACTGATGCAGAAATTGAAGCTTCAGTGTTTTGGCTACCTGATGTGAACAGCCAACTCATTGGAGAAGATGTCAATGCTGAGAAAGATTGAAGGCAAGAGGAGAAGTGGGCACCAGAGATTAATATGGTTACATAGCATCAATGTCTTGATGGACATGAATTTGAGCAAACTCTGGGAGACAGTGAAGAATAGAGGAGCCTCGTGGGCTGCAGTCCATGGGGCTGCAAAGAGTTGGACATGACTTAATGACTGAACGACAACAGTAACATTTATTGAATAGGTACTAAGTAGAGTATGCACTTTGCAAGGTGCAGGGCATACAGCTTTGTCTATAATATGGCATATTCCTATATCCCCACAGTTGCCATTTCTAACTAATGGTCTATGTTTTTGTTTTTGTTTTTGTTTTTTTTGGTAAGAGAAGGGCCACTGTTGAAGTAAATATGTTTCTTTTAAAGTATCTTTTGTAAGCTTGGTGAAAATTGTTGCTGGGTTGAAACTGTATGGAAAGTCACATCTGAGTACCTCTCATTATGTCTTGGTACATCAAATGTCAACTCATTAATGATTATGTGCATGTATGTAAGACATATGTGCCCATATGCAAGGGTGATAAGATCAAGTCCTTGGCCTCTTAGAATATTTGATCTACTGTTGGGCTTAAGACCTGTGTAGAAATAACTATAATGAAAAGCAGAATTGTTAAATGCTGAAAGATTAAAAGTGGTATGAGGGTTCAAAGGAACTTGAACAAAATATTGTTAAATGCATTGTGTTTATTAACCATTTTATTAAATGAAAGTTTATTTTGTTGACTATTTACTGAGTGTCTTTAGACAGTATAGAGTTGATTAGCTTATTATTTTAAAGCCTACCCCTTAGAATAGTGTTTTTTAAGGTATGATTCGATAATCTGCATGAAAAACAGCTATTTTGTAAAATGCAGATTCTCAAACTTTGTCCAAGACTTACTAAATTAGAAAACCTGAAGGTAGGACCCAGGAATTCATTGCTATAAGCACTTCACAGGTAATATTAATGTATATTTATATATATACAAGTTATTTCAGAAGTTATCTTTATAAGTGATGATTTACATAGAATAAATGCACTCATTTTGAATATTTGAAGGGTTTTGGCAAGTATATGTACATATAATTCACTTCAATCAAAAGAGAACATTCCATTACTGTATGAAATTCTATTGTGTTGTTGATCTTCACCTGAAGTTCTGGGGAACAACTGATTGGTTTTCTGTCAGTATAGATTAGTGCTGTTTGTTTTAGAATTTTATATAAATGAAATCATACAGTATGTACTCTTGTGTCTGGCTTCTTCTGCTTAATATATCTCTAAGATTCATCCATATTACTGTGTGTGTGCTTTTTTATTGCTGAGTAGTATTCCATTGTACACATATGGATATACTGCAATTTTTTGATGGTTTCTAATTTTTGTCTATTATGAGTAGAATATTGTGAACATTCTTGTACAAAGCTTCCTTTGAATATATGTACATCTTATTTTATAAGCTTAGTTTTGATATCCTCTTTATTTATTACACTGTGGTATACAGGGCTGAGAAGATTAGTGGTTCTTCTTTATTTCTATGAAGAAATTTAGAAGTAAAGAAAGAAATTTATGTAATTTAAAGATTATTCTTTATTTCTGTTTCCTTATCTGTCAAATGGGAATAATCCCTGTCCTATTTATCACAGACTTATTTTTAGGATCAAATGAATTATAATATATGTTTAAACAGCTTGAAACTTACAGAGGTCCATACAGGTCATTGATTAGTATAGTTTAAGGCTTAGACATAATATACTTATTATAAAACCTCAAGGGAGTTGCATAATCCATTGACATTAGATTTCAGCCTGAGCCCTAATTAAAGCTCCTCCTATTCTTCTCTGATTTCAGAAACGGATGGAGGAGCTTTTGTTACTGGCCAAGGAAAGCCGTTGGAGCAACCACAGTATTTGGTTTGGACACTATACAACATCCACTGTCCTTTCTCCATCACCAGGACTTCGGTCAATAATGAGGTGAGACAGGCTTCCAAAATCAAGATTGTTTTTAATTCTTTTATGTTTTCTACCTATTTTGCTTTTCTAAAGAGGTATTTTTATTAACTTGGCATCACAGGCTATCATTGTTCATTTATTTCATTTGCTTTTTATTGGTTAGTTCGGCTACAGCTTATTTGTGTGGGCATCTTCATACCCTTGGTGGACTCATGCCTGTTTTGCACACTCGTCACTTCCAGGGCACTTTGGAACTTGAGCTAGGAGACTGGAAGGATAACAGAAGGTAAGGGAACTACCCCACAAAATAAAACTTATACATGTGAGTTTTGCTAAAGCAATTATAGTTTTCTGATCACTACCATGAGTGATCCCAGTTAAGGAAAAACTTGTGATACCTCTCTGTTTTTGAAGGGAAATATGTATCTGGCAGTCTTTATCCTTATGCAGAAACCTTGTTGCAGCAGTTATGTTTGCCATTGCTGTGTTGCATTGGACTTTCAAATGCATCCTCTAGGAAATAGTTTTCAAGCTGTAGTGTACACAAGCTCTTAGAGGAGCTTATGAAAAATAAAGATTACCAGGCCTTCACTCTAGAGATTTTGGCTGTGTTGGTCTGGATTAGGACACAAGAAACTACGTTTTAAAAAAAAAGTCTACTAGGTGCTCAAGAGACTATACTTTGAGAAATATTAAGGCTAGAAATATGTCATATCTTTCCCTAAATTTTGTACTTGCCTTTCTAGTTACTGCTGCAATATATTAGTGATTTAAGTTCTTCAAATAGATTACAGTTGGTTTTTATTAAGGTTAAAGCCTTTTAAAAATTATTATTAAGCATTTAAAGAAATTATAGTATAGTTGATGTACACTATTGTATAGGTTACAGGTATACAATATAGTGATTCACAGTTTTTAAAGGTTATACTCTATTATTATTACAAAATATTGGCATATTCCCTGTGTTGCACAATATCCCGGTAGCTTCCTTTATATGTAATAGTTTGTACCTTTTAACCCCTTGCTTCTATCTTGCTCCTCCTTTCTTCCCTTTCCCCAATGGTAGCCACTCGTTTATTCTCTTTAAGTCTGTTTCTTTTTCACTATATTCCCTAGCTTGTTGTAGTTTTTAGATTCCACATATAAGTGATCTTGTACAATATTTGTCTTTCTCTGTCTGATTTATTCACTCAGCATACTACCCTCCAAGTCCGTCATTGTTACAAATAGCAAAGTTCCATTCTTTTTTATGGCTGAGTATTATTCCACTGTATATCTACCATATCTTTATCCATTTTTATGTTGATGGACACTTAGGTTGCTTCTGTATCTTGGCAGTTGTAAATAATTCTGCCATGAGCATTGGGGTGCATGTATCTTTTCAAATTGGATATGTACCCAGGAGTGGACGTGCAGGATCATATGGTAGTTCTAGGGTTAAAGTGTTTTGAAGAGAAAATATAACATTTATCAAAAGCATATAGTATAGTTGAATATATATTAATTGAGGAGAATGCAGTGTATATTTGATAATAACTACTTAAGTGCAACTATAAGTATAAATAACTACCATCTCATTGTTTTATATCAATTGCTATTTAACTTTGTTAAACCCAGTGCTATGAAGATATTAGATACTCAGTAAATATTTGTTAAGCTGAATGTTATCTTGCTATTTTTAACTACAGTTGACCTTTAAACAACACAGTCTGAATTGTGCAGGTCCCATCACTTCATGGGAAATAGATGGGGAGACAGTGGAAACAGTGTCAGACTTTATTTTTTTGGGCTCCAAAATCACTGCAGATGGTGANTGCAGTACCTCACAATCCGCAGTTAGTTGAGTCCATGGAAGCAGAGCCAAGGTTATGGGGTCTGACTGGGAAGTCCTACTCAGCTTTTCGACTGCTTGAGGGCTGGTGCCCCTGGCCCCCGCATTTTTCAAGGGTCAGCTGTTCTTCTGTTGGGCTTCCCTCGTGGCTCAGCTGGTAAAGAAACCGTCTGCAATGCGGGAGACCTGGGTTCGATCCCTGGCTTGGGAAGATTCCCTGGAGAAGGGAAAGGCTACCCACTCCAGTATTCCTGCCTGGAGAATTCCATGAACTGTGTAGTCTTTGGGGTTGCAAAGAGTTGGACATGACTGAGCGACTTTCACTTCACTGTTAATCAAAAAGCAGTTTTATATCTTGGAAAGTACTTATTCATTTCAGTTGGCATTTCTAGAAACTGTGTAAGAGTTAAGCTTGAAGCCTCTAATTAGTTGGCAGCTGTAATTACTTTGAACTAAGACCTGCCTGTTCAGGATGGTGAGGCTGTGGGCTGGACTAGAATTGCTTTTTACAAGGTAGCCTTCCTAAACCTTGTTCAACTTCTTGATTTCTTATATATGCTACAGTTACAAGTTAAGTCATGTTAATTATGAAACCATTTCCTTTCTTTCACTTCCCACCTGCTCTCCTGTGTTCCACCCTAGGGTGTTATCTAGAGTTTGTCTTACTGAAAGAAACTAACTTTTATCTGCCCTTATAAATATTTAAATTTTATTATGTATTGTTTAGTCGCTCAGTCGTATCCTACTCTTTGTGACCCCGTAGACTGCAGCACGCCAGGCTTCCCTGTCTTTCACCATCTCCTGGAACTTGCTCAAATTCATGTCTATTGACTCAGTGATGCCATCCAGCCGTCTTGCCCTAATATTATGTATTAGCACGATAGAAGAGTTTTTTTTTTTTTTTTTTTTTCCAGCTTCACTGTGTTGCCTGTGGGATCTTAGTTTCCCAGCCAGGGACTGAACCTCCTCTCTCTATGCCATCCAGCCGTCTTGCCCTAATATTATGTATTAGCACAATAGAAGAGTTGTTTTTTTTTTTTTTTCCAGCTTCACTGTGTTGCCTGTGGGATCTTAGTTTCCCAGCCAGGGACTGAACCTCCTCTCTCAGCAAAAAAAAAAGTGCAGAGTCTTAGTCATTGGACTGCTAGGAAATTCCCTAGAAGAGTTTTTAAAAACAGTATATTAGTAATAATAGATTAGGCTTTGTTGTGTATGCAAATAAATCTAGAAATATCAGTGGCTTAACCCAACAGATGTTTAGTTTTTTATTTTTTTTTCATTTTTGTAAACTCTTACTGGGAGTATGACTCATAGTATGAGTCAAGGAAACTCGCAGCCACAGGGTAACTCTGGGATTCAGACTTCCTCCATCTTATTATGTGACTATTTCAACACCTCAATTCCAGGGCAGGGAAGAGAGCATGGAGAACTCATACCCACTCTTAAGTACTTTGGACCGGAAGTGTGATATATGTCACTTCCGTTCACAGCCCATTGGCCAGAACTAGTCACATGGTCCCAACCTAATACCAGGGAGACTGGGAAAGGCAGGGGAGCAGGTGGAATATTTGGTGAGCACTATTGTTTCTGCCATAGCTAATCATTTTTCTCCTCAGTTTTAAAAGTTAGAAAATACAAAACTTTGCTTACTCTTTAATGAATAATACCTTTCAACGTGCATTTAGAAAATAAAAACTTTTGCTATTTTCTTTGAAATTATAGAAATAAACGTTTTAAAGAAGAATTAAAAGTTTCTAATTGTGCTCATTTTAATATTTTACGTAGCATTGTTGATAGGATAAAGAATGTTAGATGTTAGGCTTATGATGAATATTTTAGGTTCAAAATAGTCTTAAAGTATAGAAATCAAATGATTTAATTCAATAAACATTTATTTAAAAATTAAGAGTACATGCTAGACACCAGGCATGATTTTAGGACACAGTGAAAATTCATTGTTTCAGTCAGATCCCAGTTGTTGTGACAAATGTCACAAATGACAAAATGTAAAAGCGAAAGGTACAAGGAAAGAAAGAGGAACAATATTATTTACTCTGCATTCCAATAAATAATCTCAGAAAGTATAATTTTATATTTTTACCTTTGTTCTGTTTTTCTCCTTCAGTCCCTCTTAAAATATGAAATGACTAAATTACCTCATTGTTCTCTGGTCTCTAGGTACCGGATCTTTGCTTTTGATCATGACCTCTTTAGCTTTGCAGATTTGATCTTTGGTGAGTGGCCTGTGGTTCTTATCACTAATCCTAAGTCACTCCTGTATAGTTCTGCTAAACATGAACCACTAGAAAGACTCCTTCACTCAACACACATCAGGTATGTAGCAATTTTTCAGAATTTAATTTTAGTTTTAAGTTATTGATAGAGAATAAGTCATTGTGATTACATTCTCATGTGAAAGCTATGAGATGTCCCACTTTAGTTTTATCAACAATCTAAACATTATATACATAGCCTACTGTTTCATTCTCATTCAGTTAAAAAATACATAGTTTTTAAGTTGCTGAAATTAGAAAAAAATTTAGAAACCCACAATCCTGCCATTATTGTTTCTTTTATTCCAGCTTCTGTATATGCATGTTTTTACATTGCCATAATCATAATGTATCTATTCATTTGTATCCCATTTTAACACATTTATATCATATATCAGAAATAAATATTTAAAAATTTTTCTACATAGCCTTTCAAAAAAGCAAAAGCTATAGAAACCTTATGGAATTGAAAGTTCATTTGGCATATGAATTTGACAGTATATGTCAATGGAATCTTTTTTCTTTTTTAATTTTTTCTGGCTCTGCTGTGCAGCATGGGGGATCCTGGTTCCCTAACCAGGGATTGAACCTATGTCCCTTGCAGTGAAAGCATGGAGTCTTAACCACTGTATGTCCAGGGACGTCCCAACTTATTATTATTATCTTTTTTCCAACTTATTTTTTATTGAAGTATAATTGAATTACAATGTTGTGTCAATTACTTCTGTAGAGCAAAGTGATTCAGTTATACATTTATATACATTCTTTTTCATTTTCTTTTCTATTATGGTTTATCACAAGATATTGAATATAGTTTCCTGTGCTATCCAGTAGGACCTTGTTGTTTCTCTAGTCTATATATACCTGTCCAACCCTCTCCCACTCCCCTCCCCCTTGGCATTCTATCTCTATGTCCCTGATTCTGTTTCTATTTCATAGATAGGTTCATTTGTGTCATGTTTTAGATTCCACGTATAAGTGATATCATAGAGTATTTGTCCTTCTCTTTCTGACTTACTTCACTTACTATGATAATCTCTAGTTGCATCCATGTTCCTGAAAATGGCATTATTTTGTTCTTTTTTGTGGCTGGGTAGTATTAAATAGAATCTTAATGAAACATTACCGTTCCTTTTGGAGAGAGACTTATAACCTTTTGCAAATGTAAGGGCACTTGTTTTAATATACTTTTTAAAATTTTATTTTGAAAAGTAGCACGACATAACTTTTGGAAAATAGGGTAATGGGATTATATGTGTATTCCTGTCCCATCCCCCATCCCCTAGTAGAACTGCTGTTAACATGAGTTTTCTTTTTCAGGCATTCTCTTTCAGGCATGTATTTACATAGTCATAATCATAGGGTACAGTGTATTCTAATTCCTACCTTTTTTCTGTCAACAGAGAGAATGGATCATAGTATATATAACTATTTTCCTATCTTCTTGGTGAACTTTTAGATTTTCTTCTAATTTGAGGATGAATATCTGATGCATATAGATTCTTCCTTCATTTGAATGATTGCTTTAGATAGAGTTCTCGAAATGGGATTCTAGCTGAAATAGTTTAGATTCCTTTGTGACTGTTGATAAAGGTTTTCTAACTACTTTATTTTTTTGCAACTAAAATAATTATTCTTTTTAAAAAAAATTTTGGTAAAATATACATAAACTTTACCATGTTAACCATTTTTAGTGTACAGTACTTTCATATTGTTATACAGCCATCACCACCATTTGTTTTATCTTCCAGAACTGCAACTTTGTACCCATTCAACACTAACTCCCTATTCTCCCTCCCCCCAGCCCCGAGCAACCATTATTCTACTTTCCGTCTCTATGGGCCTGACTACTTTGGGTGCCTCATATAGGAGAATCACCTATCTGTCCTTTGGTGACTGGTTTCTTTCATTTAGTGTAATGTCTTCACCCATTTTTTTGGTACAAATTTATTTGTTTGTTTTTGGTTGCATTGGGTCTTCATTGCTGCACGGGCTTTCTCTAGTTGCAGTGAGCTAGGGCTACTTTCTCGTTGGTGATGTGCAGGTTTCTCATCACAGTGGCTTCTCTTGTTGCGGAGCACCAGCTCTAGATGCACAGGCTTCAGTAGTTATGGCTTACAAGGTCTAGAGCATGGGCTTAGTAGTTGTGTACAGGCTTAGTTGCTCTGAGGCATGAGGAATGTTCCCAGACCAGGGATTGAACCCATGTCCCCTGCATTGGGAGGCAGATTCTTATCCACTGTGCCACCAAGGAATTCTGTCTTCACCAATTGTGATGCATGTATCAGAATCTTCTTCGTTTTTAAGGCTGAATATTATTTCATTGCACGTATATACCATATTTTGTTTATCCATTCATCTGTTGAGGTGGCTTAGTTGGCAAAGAGTCTGCCAGCAATGCGGGAGACCTAGCTTCAATCCCTGGATCGGGAAGATCCCCTGGAGAAGGAAATGGCAACCCACTCCAGTATTCTTGCCCAGAGAGTCCCAAGGACAAAGGGGCCTGGTGGGCTATAGCCCATGGGGTTGCGAAAGAGTTGGACATGACTGAGTGACTAAACCTACCAACCTATTCATTTGTTGATAGACACTTTTCCTTCCACCTTTTCACTATTGGTGAATAATGCTATGAACATGTGTATAAATATATGTGTTCCAGTCACTGCTTTCAGTTCTTTTGGGTATATATTCAGAAGTGGAATTGCTGGATCATATGGTAATTCTATGTCTAATTTTTTTTGAGAAACTGCCATACTGTTTTCCATAGTGGTTCTGTCATTTCACATTCTCACCAGCAGTGTACAAGGAACCTGATTATTTTTTAAAGCAGGTACTAATTTATAATGTTACTGAGAAATAGTAGTGCAAATATCACAGAACTCTTGTCATTATTGGATACTGTACTTTTAAAAATATTTCCTCATTATTCTGGAAAAAAGGGTACCAAGCTGTTTTATTTCTTTTGATTACTAGGTAAGTGGAACATATATCTCTCGGTTATGTTTTTTGATAGGAGCTGGATATCAGATTTAGATTTAGAATAGTTTCTAATTTCTCACCTTTTCAGGTTTGCTGAGTTTTACAACTCCAGAAGCCACCGTTTAAAAAGAAATCAGATCATATGAATAGTGTCGTGTGAACAGTTGCAGAGTGTAATGGTCTATTTTACAGTTGCCCTTCGGTATCTCCGGGAGATTGGTTCCAGGATCCCCTGAAAATACCAGAGTCTTCAGATGCTCAAGTCTCTTATGTAATGTGGTGTAGTATTTGCCTATAACCTATACTTCAAATCTTACCTAGATTACCTGTGGGCTTTTCTGGTGGCTCAGTGGTAAAGAATCTGCCTGCAATGCTGGAGATGCGTGTTCGATCCTTGGGTTGGGAAGATCAGTTGGAGAAGGAAATGGCAACCCACTCCGGTACTCTTGCCTGGGAAATCCCATGGACAGAGGATCTGCTGGGCTATATTCCATGGGGTTGCAAAAGAGTTGGATACAACTTAGTGACTGAATAACAACAAATTACTTAATACCTAATACAATTTAACTTCTGTGTAAATAGTTGCTGGTGCATGGCAAATACAAGTTTTGCGAAATTTTTCTTTTTTGAATATTTTCAATCCATGGTTGGTTGAATCCACAGGTTCCACATCTCAGGAACCTGAAGATCAACCGATGGAAGGTTTACTGTACTCACATCTTTTCAGGTTATAACAGGGTTATTCTTCTTTATAGAAACAATGGCAAATACCTAAAACCATGCATTTATGCTTTCATTTTAGAGTCTTGGCCTTTTCCTTATCCTCCATTACTTCAGTTGCAGTTAAGATTGATGGAGTTCATTTAGGGCAAGCTAGTCATTTGTCTGGTCCTATTTTCATACTAAAGTGGAACCCAAGAAACTACAGTAATAAGACACATAACATAGAAGTAATCGTTCAGGTAAGTTAGTAATTTTCAACTCGGTATGTAAATGATTAGTAACCACATTGAACTTTGATTTCTTTTTTTTTTTGTCAGTTGATTAAGATGAAACTAAGTAAAAAATTTTGAATACACTGGATTTAATATGTTCTGAACATAGACACTCAGGAGAAATTCTGCTGTTAGACTGAACATTGGGCAGAGAACATGAGTGTGCAACTACCAACTCCAGTTCCTTCTTTTTTAACCCCAGGGAATCATTCTTTTGCTTTCTTCCAACTTTGGCCAGAATTTCCCCAATATACCCAAAGATAATAGAATAAGTCAGAAAACATGTATTTATGTGTCCACACCTTTGATTGCTGTCTCCAAGTATAGGAAAATTGTGTTTACAATTTTGAAAGCCTAGGATAGAGAATTTTCAAGGCATCAAAGAGATTTTTTGTTTGCGGAGTGGGCACTTAAAGTGTATGCAGTGACTGCCTGCCTATCCCTTTTCTGATTCAGCTTGTGGGGCATTTAATTCAGCAGACCTGCCAGAGTAGAAAGTGATCATCATTACCAAAATAGAACAGTTTTATCAATACACTGAAACACGTTAGGTGATAGACTGTGCTAAAAAATTAGTTTCTGGAAAAAAAGCCTGTCAATCTTTACCACACTATGGTTTGATGACAGTTTTAAGCTAATCTTTTAATGTTAAGTCTTAGTTTGAAGGTTACCAAGTAATCCTTCAGAAAACACATGTAATTATTGTCATCTTTTTTAAATGTGTGTCACAGAGAAGGATTTTGAGCAGGAAGGAGCTATTTACTGAGCTTCTTCTAAGGAGATGCCAGATGCTTAGAATTTTTTTTTTTTTTTTTACTAAATCCATGTAACAATCTTCCATGATTTAAATTTTATCCCCAGTTCATAGATGAGGAAACAGGAGAAGGCACTTTGCAGTGCCACACATCTGCTTAGAAGGAAGAAGAAACTCATGGGTAGGATGTGGAAGGAGGGATGCTCTCCTTAATGTCTTTCATATTAGAAGTTGGCTTATTTTAAAACAACTTGAAGGTATAAGTACATGTAGAATAAATTGTTCCCTATCTTTACAGTCACGGGGAAGAAGTGAGAGCAACCATAGGAGACCTGCTCCTTGTAGGAAGGTGGAACACCGAAATCTTTGGATTGCTTGTTTTATAAGGAAGAAACCATAGTTCACATTCCTCAAAACATTTCTGCCTGCTTAGTTGAATCCTTAGTAAAAATGTGAAATAACATATATTTTTATATGTTTCATATTTCTTACATTTTTGAGATGTAATTTATATTTAAAACCCCATATATTTAAGAGTACAGTTTGGTGAGTTTTGAGTTTCTTACACATCCTTGAAACCATTACTACAAAAATCAATGCCATCTGTCTCCCTCAATAGTCTTCTTATACCCTTTTGCAACTGCTTTCCTTCCACCCCCATTTAAGGCAACCACTGATCTGTTTTCTGTCTACATGAATATAATTCCAAGAAATTAGTCTACTGTATACTAAAATAGGGAACCTAGTCCCCTTATTCATCAATGAGAAAATTGTGTCCTTTTAAATATAGTTTGCCATAGATAAGTCTGAGAGAAAAATTCATGGAAGAAGACACTGATTTATTTTATCTATGCATGATTTATTGATATCTGTACATTTCCAGGCAACCTAGTACCAACTAGACCTTTCAATCAGTTCTCAGTGTGGTTCCTGAAGTAGTAGCATCACCATCACCTGGAAACTCATTAGAAGTCCCATCCCAAACCTATGAATCAGAAACTCTGGAGATGGAAGCTAACCCTATGTTTTGATAATCCCTCCATGTGATTCTGATGTGCACTAAAGTTTGAGAACCAGAATGTAAGATTATTGTGCCTTCTTTGCCAATTTAAAGAGTAAACTCTAGAAATCTCTATATCTCAAAGAGAATCTCTGCATTAAAATAAGAACTTTAAAAAAAACCCAAGAATATGTAATTCAGAGTAAGAACATTTGAGAAATAAAAGTTTGATAAACACCAGTGCAAGTTTTTTTTTTGCTATTTTAAAGCTTTTCATGATACGGAATTTTTAAAATAAATGAAAGAGATAGTACTATAATGAATTCCCAAGTTTAATGAATCGCCCAACTTTAAAGATTATCAACTCATGAACAGTCTTGTTTCATCTATACCCCATCTACTTCTCCCTGTATCACAATGTTATTTCATCTGTGTAAATATTAATATGACAGTATGTATCACTAAAAGATAACTATTTAAAAAAAGTAATGATAATACCATATCACACCTGAAAAATTAACACTTACACCTTAATTTCAAACTGTCCAGCTAATGTTCCAGTTTTCCCATTTTGTCATTTATATTGCATTTGGTTGGTTCATCTCAGAATTCAGGCGAGGCTCAAATATTGCATTTAGCTGATTTGTCTTTTCAGTTTCTTAATCTATAGGTTCCCTTTCCATCCTCCTCCTTTGTTCCCCCTTGCAATTTGTTTGCTTTGGAAACTGGACCTTTTATCCTGTAGTGTTTCTGTGTTCTGGATTTTTGGTGTTTGTATCCATGTGGTATTATGTAGTATGATTTTCCACCCCCTCTAGTTTCTGTAACTGGTAGTTAGATTTTAAGGTTTGATCATATTTGAGTCTCTGTTTTTGGCAGGAATACTTCCTTTGGTGTTTTATGCTTTTATCAGAAGCCTATAATATCTGGTTGTCTCTCTTTTAAAAATATTAAAGTTGATCACTGTATGTAGATATTGTTGACCCTACACAGTGGTGTGCTGGTAACTGTTTAACCACTAACTTGGGGCATGTTTGAAGGGAGGAACTTGATTTATACCAATTTCCATACTATAAATATTCCTCCTGTAGCTGGTTTTAAGCTACATTAGCTGGTCTGCAAAGTTCCTGAACATGTAGCAATTGGCCCTTGTCAGACAAGCCAGTGCCAGCACAATGCTGGCGTATCCTCCATTCATTATGAAGTACCCAACCAGCTTTTCACTGTGGGAATTCTAGCATGTACTGATAGTCTGAGACTAGATACCTTATTTCATTGGAGTTATAAACTGGTGATATTCAAATTGCCACTCTTAATTATATGAGTATTAATTAGAAGAGTCCCAGAAAGAAAAAATCTGCCTCACCTATTTGATACCCAGATACAGAGTTCATACAGGAAAGGCAGGATAAAGTCTTCATTCATCCTCCACCTTCCCTTTTCTAAACCTGTTTTCAGAATAATGAGTTCTCTACCATCTGCTAAAGGTAACCAAATGAGTCTTTTAGTATCATTATGAATTCATAGTTAAAAAAAAAAGGTATGTTTCACTCCATTGCATTTATTCTTTTTGATGCTCAATTGTCCCATCTTTGGCTAGTAGGAGCCTCTCTAAGTTGGCCACTAAGTCCTCTGATACAGTCCTAATAGTCCTTGTTAAGTTTTCTTGCTTTCTGGTACAAAGATGTTCCAAGCCCTTGTGCATTTCTTACTCAAGAATTGGCATCAGCTGTTTCTCTAAGGAGCATTGGTTTCTTGTAGTGGGGAATTTTATTTTGAGACCAAAATCTGAGCACTAGCTCAGCTAGCTCATTATTGTTTTTAGGTCTTTTCAATAAACAAAGGGAAATACAGATTTTTTTTTTAAAGATTACTTTGTGATACACACTGATATTTCCAATTCAAATCTGGAATTACAAACTTTAAAAGAAGTTTTATTTAAAATGCTCATATGTTCACCTGAAACTACCACAACATTGTTAATTAGCTATACCCCAGTACAAAAGAAAAAGTTTAAAGTTTAAAAAAAAAAAGTTAAAAAAAAATAAAGTACGAAGATACTCTGAAAAAAAAAAATCAAGTTCTCATAGGAAGACTCAAAAATAAGTGAAAAAAGGTGTCACTTATTCTGAGATAACTGACGAAAATGATTGGAAACTTAATATTGGAACATTGTACATATTTGTACATGAGGGTTGCTTCCCTATTGTGCTTATTACTAGGATTCTTCTGGAAGAAGTAAGAGTGTTCACCACATATTTTCAGCTCGAGAGGATATTCATCTCAGATTTGATCTCCTGGCATCATTTATTCTCCTTACTGACCATTGTACTGTGGTGAGTAAATTCAACTTAGTATTATACATGTTTTTACTAGATTTGGGAGGTCTAATGTCATAAATAATATATTCATGTGATGAGAAAGCAGAACTTTATCAAATTAAAAGTTTAGTTGTTTGTCTAAAAGAATACAATGACTTTAAATTGATTTGAATTAAAAGAAGAGGAGACATGGACATGTAGTACCTGTTCTGGAACCTGGTTCTAAGTAATGACATAAAACAAGGATAACTAAGGGAATTATAGGAACTGTGCTAAATTAGGATATTTCAAAAATAATATTTCTTCCTACATAAATAATACATGCTTAATATAGAAAAATTAGAAAATTTAGAAATAAAGTATAATGAACCCCACATCATTCTTTTATCACACTAACCATTATAACCATTGTATTTCTCATTACAATACTATTTGTTTATTTTTCTCTTGTTTACATTTGGATATAAGTTTTACTATAAAATGGTAATATACTTTTCATTCTCTTTTTCCATTTGATGTTTTCTACTGAGAAATTTGTTTTGGTGATTTTCTTACATCAAATTTGTTTTATAAATGATGCTTATTGGCTGCATTATATTGTCATAGATATACCTTAATTTATTTGACCATTTCCCCTATTGTTGAGCATTTGTTTACAATTTTTCCCTCTACTGTAAAAATATTGCTTGTTTCTGCAGTTAATAGTTTTTTTGGAAATTTCTGGAAATGAATTGTTGGATCAAAGAATGGACACATTCTACATGCTTCATTTATTTATTATATAATTTATATAGTTATACAGATTTTAGAATTACTTATTATATTCATTGTTTTTGGTTTGTTCTCCCTCATGAAAAGATAAGTCCCATGAGAGCAAGAATGTCTTTTTGGTATGCCTAACACAAGTAGACTCTCAAATAAGTATTTCTTGAATGAATAAATATATTTTTTTGTTTTTTTTTAGTTTTTAATATACACTTTCAAACTGTCTTTCAGAGAGGCTTTGGCAATTTACAGTCTAGTTTCCTCAGATCTCCCTCTCCTGGGTATTAACATAAAATGCACTACAATGTTGAGAAGAAAATTTAAACCCCCTTCATTCACCTTCCAAAGATAGCTTAATATCCTCTTATATCTTCACAGACTTAATGTGCATTACTTATTATTTTAATTTACTTTTATTACTTGTGTGATTGAACATTAAAAAAATATGCCTAATGGACATATGCATCTCATTTTTACAAATCATTTATTTTTCTTTTGGGGATTTTTAATAGTCACCTAGATCAGGTTTTGAAAACTTTGGTGTACTTATGAATCACCTGGAAATGTGAATAAGACGCTGATTCTGATTAGTAGAGTTGAAATGGGGCCTGAGATTCTGCATTCCTAAGAGGCTCAAGGTGATTCCAGAGATGACCTGGGGCTCATACTTGGAGAACAAGAACCTAGATTACATGTCTCTTTACTATGAATTAATCTTCAAGTGAGTGATTTCCTGGTGGAGAAAGTATAAGGAAATGCAGTCTCTGTTCATTCAGCTTGTAGTGAACTGCATACTGGGTGTTTTTTTTTTTCTTTCCATTTTTATACTTTTTAAAAAAACTTTTTATTTATATTGGAGTATAGTTGATTAACAGTGTTGTGATAGTTTCAGGTATACAGCAAAGTGATTCAGTTATACATTTACATGTATCTATTCTTTTTCAAATTCTTTTTCCATTTAGGTTGTTACATAATATTGAGCAGAGTTCCCTGTGCTATACAGTACGTCTTTGTTGATTATCCACTTTAAATATAGCAGTATGTACATGTCCATCCCCAACTACCTAACTATCCCTTCCCCTCTTCTGTCCTCCCCCTGTAACTGTAAGTTTGTAACACTCTTATAAGACTTTAAATAAAACAGTACAAATTATACTTAACCTAGTACACTGAAAGTGGACTATTTTAATTTGATTTTATGTAACTATATGAAATTATTTAGTTTCAATGTTGGTCCAGGTATCCAAATCTTAAAAGACAAATGCTGAGGCAACTTATAATTATCTTCTTTGCTGCATCAGATTTTCAAGTTTCTTTGACTGTATATTTTTCTTATATAATCACTTGTCCTAATGATGTAATTTTCATTTGTGTTAATGGGGCTGTTTATAAAAACTGAAGCTGTATCCATATGTCTGTTTCACATTAATTTCTCTTTGTCTGCAGGCCCGGGTCATATTTGTGATGATTGTGCTGATGCAGCTCATCGTTCTCATTATTTTTCGGTATCAAGCATATCCAGAGCATAAAGGTTAGTCACCATGGGTTCCTTTTATTCTTAGAAGACCTTACTTTCGTGCATCCCATAATCTCCCGACTAAGTAAATATCAGTGCAGACTGTCTTTCCTGAACTCTGTGAGGTGCATCCTTCAAACTATCGTGCTCATTTCAAACCCCCTTTTCCGCACCATATTCTCCAACCATTCCAGGTCATAATGAACTTTTGTGTCTCTGAATCCCAAGAGTCCTTCCTAAGGATTAATTCTGTATTTAACCAGCCAATCACCTTGTTTACATCACAACTTCAAATGTATATATTTTCTCCTCAATCAGACTTAAGTTCCTCAATATAGGAGCTCTTGTTTAGTACTTCTTTTCTGTTTTCTTTTGATTTCTTCTATGATTTGTACTTTTCTGTTTTCTATAGCATCCAGCACTGAGTTCGTGCATTACAGACAATAAGTATTGATACTTGTTGAAATAAATGTTCCATTCCTTCCTGACTTGGATGAAATCCCAGGAACTGACTGTGGGGAAGGGGAGGACTGTAGTAAAGTTTAAACTGTAAGATGATTAACTGCATAGGTAGTATACATATCCTACTGAATGTTTTCCTGCTTATATATATTTTTAAAAATTCTGTGAAAAAGTTCAAAAAGCATTATTGCACAAAATATAAACAAATAAATAATTGAGGGAGGCCTCAGCCTCATGTGGGACTACCAGTATTTTTGTATAGTTATTTAACATTCATAACATATTTTTACTTATATCATCTTACTTAATCTTACAACAGTCCTGTGAGGTAGGTATTATTGTCTCCCATTTAAAGACTAGAAAACTGAGGACTGCAGAGTTAATGTAGGTTATCTAGTGTCTTATAGCCAATAAGAGTCTGACTCCAGGTCAGTTCTTTTCTGTAAACAACTCTTCTCAATCTGACTACACCTTAGAACGCCTTGGGGAACTTTTAAAATCTCAGTGTCTACACAGAACTTTCAGTGCTTACACAGAATAATGTAGGACCTAAGCATCAGTATTTTTTTAAAGCTCCTCAGATGATTCCAGTGTGTGGTAGGGCTGAGAAGCACGGCGCTGTCCAAAGCAGTATCTTTCAGTCCTGCTGCCTAGAATCCCCTGGGTTGCTGCCTCAACTCCCCTCTTTCCCAGGCCAACTAAATCAGAATCTCTGGAGAGTGAGACTTGGGCACGAGTATTTTCTAAAAGTTCCCCCAGGTTATTCTAATGTACGGCCAAAGTAGAGAATCATTGCTTAAAATTTATAGTGTAGCTGCCTCTGAGGCTAAAGAATGATATATTTAAAGTAAATAAATAATGATAATGAACGGGTACGTAGATCAATACTTTGAGAAGTACCAGACTAGAATGAGAGATGAATGAGGAGTAGTTCCCTGTGCTATATAGTTGTTGTTTTTCAGTCACTCACTCATGTCCGACTCTTTGTGACCCTATGGATTGTAGCACGCCAGGCTTCCCTCTCCATCACCAACTCCTGGAGCTTGCTCAAGCTCATGTACATTGAGTCAGTGATGCCATCCAACCATCTCATCCTCTGTTGTCCCCTTCTCCTCCTGCCTTCAATCTTTCCCAGTATCAGGATCTTTTCCAGTGAGTCAACTCTTCCCAATTTGGAACCAAAACTGCTATACAGTAGATCCTTGTTGATTATCTGTCTTAAACATAGTGTGTTGGAATAGGAAATGGCAATCCAGTCTGGTGTTCTGGGCTTGAAAATTCCATGGATGGAAGAGCCTGGTGGGCTGCAGTCTGTGGGGTCGCAGAGAATCAGACATGGCTGAGCATGCACGCATGCACACATTTAGGTTGCTTCCATGTTTTAGCTATTGTAAATAGTGCTGCAGTGCACCCAGAACACTGGGTGACCTTTGACATACTTTGATATAACTTTTGGAAGTTTGTACATTCGGATACTAACTCTCATGGAAAACAAAGACTTGATCACTTTTTGAGTATAGAATATTTGTGTGTGTGTGTGTGTACGTGTCTTGCAACTACACCATTGCTTTGAACTTCCTACCCTCTGTAATTATAAGTGAAATGGCTTACCAGCATTCCTGCCAACTTCTGATTTAAAGTAATGTCATCCATATTACAAATGATTTGCTGAAGATGTAGTAGATAGCCATTGAAAGTCTTCTAGAAAATATTTTAAAGAACCTCAACTTTGAATGTGTTTACTGGAGTTTTCCAATTTATTCTGTTTAGGACCACTGGGATTTATAAATTTGATGTCATTTTCCCTTCATGTCTTGAGCAAACTGAATATCTCCTACTATTCTGTGTTGTTGCTGACCCTGTATACAGTGTTGGGTAAGTTGAGGAAACCTGAGATTGTGGAGAATTCTGTCAAAGAATGTATTGAGAATTTTAACATTAGCCATTTAGGTTCTGGAAAGCACAGTGACTGGCACATGGCCTCTTCCTTTCCTGGGGCATGAGCTTGGGGGATACAGTCCTTTCCTAACTTAAAGGACATTTAATCAACACCGGGTTAACTTAAGGGTGCTGAGAGGACCATGACGATTAGTGTTTGTGTAGAACCTTAATAGAAGATAGAAGTTCAGCTTAAATGTCATCTCCTCAGAGCAACCTTTGATCACGTTAAAGCTTTGTCCTCTATTTCACCACATTTTATTTCTCTCATTACTTTGTCAGAATTTATGATTACCTTCTGTGTATGTGGTCTCTCCCCTCATTAGACTATGGATTGATGTCTTATCTATGCTCTCTATGCTCAGCAGTAAGCACAATGCCTAGTATGTCGTTGAATGACTCTTCACTACCATGTGACTCCTGAAAACTCAGCTCAAAAGAGAGAGAAAGCGAGAGAAGCAGTGAGTTCAGGCATCTGAGCTCTTCTCATATTAATTATTATACTCAATACTGACAAAATCACTTTAGTCATTTATGGAAACAGAAAGCCCTGTGAGTTTCTTTTTAAAGCTTTTTATGAATGTTCCTTACTAAGAGTCATTTAGGAGTTAATATATCTTTAGTCTATATTTTATACTTTTAGTCTATCTTTGGACTTTTATTTCCTCATTAGTTACTCCCACCAGAGAACAGAAAGTAGTTAAATAAAAATATGACTCTACAATTTTGTATAACAAGCTATGGCAGATTCCCCTTTAGAGGTTGGTTTCCTTATTAGAAGATGGGTTGAGGCTGTTTCAGACACTTGTTTTCCACTAGGACCGAAGCAAGTGATTTGCTTCCTGACTGTAAAGGGAAACATTAGAAGAGGAGAAGTTCCATTTTTAAAGGTTGAAACTTAAACTAAGATGTATCTAATGGAGTATATATAATATATATCTGAGAAAATTGCCTGTGACTTTTTAAAGTTGAACTCTTACCAGCAAATGTTAGTATTGCATTTTGAGAAAGGAAATCTGACTGTCCCTTAATCACTCTTGACAATATAGTAGTTCCAGAAGCCTGCACATTGAGAAGGAGCAGTAAATACTAACAGAGAGTAGAGAAAAGTCATTCTGGCATTGCAGATGAAAAATTAAAATAAAGAAGTGAGTTAAGCTATGAACATGTTAACCCTGAGTATGTAGTTGATGTACAAAGTAAGGATTGTGGGGCAGCAAGAAAAGGTTAAAATGCATTCATTAATATTAATAAGAAAGATAAGAAGTACCTTTAAGAATGATTAAAGTGGTTGAAGTCTTATTGCTTAAAGGAGTAAATTTCAGTTATCTGGAAAATTAAGTATGGTGTCTATGGAGTACCTCTTTGCTTCTTAAAGGAAAGTTAATGCATTACTGCAATAGAATCTTCTAAAATTTGTGAATGTACTCCAGTCTGTTTCTGGAATCTATTCCAGATATAGCACTTAGGCAATTTTATAATCTAGAGAAATAGGGTGCGAAAGAGCAAATAATTGGTTACCTGGGATATTGGGTACAACACAGAGATTAACAGAGAAGAAAAGCTATGCAAATAAATGCTTATAGATGACTACTCTCATATTTCTTCATTAGTCCTAAAATGTATCTCGTGTGTGTAATCAGAGTCATATTATATAAGTTCCTTTCCTGTCCATTGCCCCTTTCAGGCCCATGGTTTGTTGGTGAAATCATTAAAGGCAAATTGGGCTGCTGCTTTTCCTTTGGAATCTTTGTTGATGGACATTTCCTACAAGGCAGTATAACATTTATAGTTGGAATTCTCCAGGTAAGAATTCAGAAATACAATTTAAGAACATCTTGGTCTTGCTGGATTAATTGCATAACAATTATAAATTAAATCCAAAATCCCAAATTAAATACCACAGATCATGTGTCCTAACTTACCGGCAGGGCAGTCTTTAGTATTTGGTGTTTATTTGTTTTTATAGTGCTTTCCAAACTCTTTCTTCCACCACTCTTGTAAGCATCTAAAATACATTTTTGGCAGGAAGGTTTATAAGAGGTAAGAGAAGTTTTGGTTGGTTGGTTGTTTCACTGTGCTTTTTCATCTACAAACAGTGAAAGAAGAGACTTATGGTAGAATAAATGATAGACTTCTGGGTAAACCAAAATTGGTTATGATAATGAAGAAGGAAACTATTTCAGAGGGAGGAAAGAGAAAATAGACACACAAGAAAAGTGGATCAGTTACCTAGTGGAAGCTTTCTAGCTATGTCTTAGCAGTTCACTTGTTTATGAAAACATTGGTACATTAGGTTTGCATTTGGATTGAGATTTCTTTAGAACAAACACAAATAAAAAACCCAGACCTGTAGCAAATCTCTATAAACAGGTTTGAAAACTGTTTACCTAACAATTTATTTACTGATTTTTCTCACCTAATGAGGCTAATGGATCACAATCTGAGGTGATGATCTGAAGTTTTATGAGATCCAAAAACATTGTTCAAAATGAGTTCACAGCCTCATAAGAGGACAGTAAAGCATGATCTGCAGGGTTAGAGACAGACAAGTAGGGAAGATCTCTGCCTAGCGAACACTGACCACAAGCCAGAATATTTTGTTTAGCAGCATTTCATATGTGACGAGATCCAGGTCTAGTTCAGTTTTCTATTATGTAGATGGAGGCTGTCTCTCAGGAGCATCCTTCAGTTCAGTTCAGTCACTCAGTCGTGTCTGACTCTTTGCAACCCCATGGACTCCAGCACGCCAGGCTTCCCTGTCCATCGCCAACTCCTGGAGCTTGCTCAAACTCATGTCCATCGAATCGGTGATGCCATCCATCTCATCCTCTATCGTCCCTTTCTCCTCCTGCCTTCAGTGTTTCCCAACATCAGGGTCTTTTCCAGTGAGTCAGCTCTTTGCCATCAGGCGGCCAAAGTGTTGGAGCTTCAGCTTTCACATCAGTCCTTCCAATGAATATTCAGGACTGATTTCCTCTAGGGTTGACTGGTTTAATCTCCTTGCAGTCCAGGGGACTCTCAAGAGTCTTTTCCAACACCACAGTTTAAAAGCATCAATTCTTTGGTGTTCAGCTTTCTTTATAGTCCAACTCTAACATACATATACATGACTACTGGAAAAACCATAGCTTTGACAGGAGCATCCTTATTCCAACTAAAATCTGAGCTTTACCAAAAGGTGGGTTTACAATCATATTTTAATAAATAGTATACCAAGAATGGACTTTATGTATCATCTAGGCCCATAGCTCATAAATGTATTATATCTCTGACCTAGACTTCTTCTCTGCACCTCATGTGCCTGTATATACAACTGGCATTTCACATCTTCCTTAGATATCTCACAAGAATCTCAACTTAATATACCTCTAACAGGACCTTTCATTTGTATCCCCAAACCTGTTTCTCCCCAGTTCTTTGCAGTTTAAATAAATTATCTAGGATGCATCTTAAGTTCTTCCCCTTCCTTCACACTTTTTATCTAGTTCATCAGCAAGTAGCACTGTGCATGTCTTGAATCCATCACTTTTCTCTGTCACTGTTACCACCACTCTTACCTAATCATATTTCTTTATTAAAAAAAAAATTATTTGGCTGTGTCAGGCCCTAATTGCAGCATGCAAGATCTTCGTTGCATCATGAGGGATCTCTCCTTGCAGCACTTGGGCTCTCTAGTTGTTGTGCTTGGGCTTTGGAGCACATGCACTCAGTAGTTGCGGTGCATGGGCCTAGTTGCTCCACGGCATATGGGATCTTAGTTCCCCAACCAGGGATCAAACCCACATCCCCTGCATTGCAAGGTGTATTCTTGCAGTGAATCAGGGGGACCAGGGAAGTACCTAATAATTATTTCTTGCCCGGGCTACTGCAGTAACCCCCTAACTGGTTTCCCGTTGTTGCTATTGTCTCCCTATTGTCAGCTTAAAACTCTTAAAGCAGACCAATGACATGATCTGGGTCCTGCTGACTGCCCCAAATTCCACCTACCTTATCATGTTCCAGGCCAATAGGAGGGTAATGGGAGATGGGCCCATCTCTGGGCTTTTCATTTGTTCTTCTGCCTGGAATGCTCTTCCACTGACTCATTTCTGTCCTTCAGACCTCAGAGAGCCCATCTCCCGTTGCTCTGTAACCAGCTATTTTCTTCATTGAATTTATCACCATCTGTAATTATCTTCCCCCTCCTCTTTTTTGGGAGGTGGGTTTCCTCTTCTCTGTAGTAGAATGTAAGCTGTCTGAAGCATCTTTTCTGACTTGTTCATCAGTGTGTCCCTTGCCTAGAGCCTTGCTCAGTGCCTGCCACATAATGAGTGCTCAATAATTATTTGGTGAATGAAAACTCATATTGTAGTTATGGTTGGATTATAAATCTTAAATCTTCTAGTTTGTATTCCAGTATTCATTATGTTACTTCAATTACAAATGCAAAGTAAAGAAAAAATATTGACATCCAAGATCCCCCCTCACTCTGCCAAAAAAAAAAAAAAGAGTACTGTATATATGTATGTGTGTGTGTGTTTGTACATAGACATATATATTCATTTCTACCTTAGACATTTGAGGGCTTCAACAGAAATGAAATGACACTTGCCTTTAAGATGAACAAAAGGATGCAAGCAAATAAACAACTAATGACACAAGTGTGATTAAGGCATAAAGGATCAGTTAACCTCCAAGAGAGAAAGCAACATATTTCTAGGAGCCACCAATAACGTGCTAGTGAGACCTGACCCCACCGGGGCTTAATAAGCTAATGGTTCCGTTCTGTTCTTTTCAGCTGGTGTTTTTTAACATCCCCTTGATGGTTTACCTGTGTTGGATTTTGCTGCAGCGGTGCTTTGGCCACAACTTCAAGTCTCATCTCCGTCAAGGAAAATACTTGAAAATTATACCTGTTCACCTACTTATGTTACTGCTGTACATCTGGCATATTTATTCCTGCTACTTTCTCCATATGACATATGGCACTCTAGCTTTATTATTCTCTCCTTTACGGACCTGGTTGACACTGGCAACGCCTGTTCTCATTCGTTGTGTTTGGACGCTGAACTCTGCTGAGCTTGGAACCTTCATAGTGCGGCTAAAAAGCCACTTGAGCTCCTGAAGTCTGTATGTCCTCATCCACCTCTGTAGCCCAGGCCTCTGCCTCAGCAGCAGGCAGAAAGCCAGCATTGACGGGCAAACTTCAGGGAGCTGCTGTCCCTTGGACACCTGGGAGTTGGGGGGTTATCTACTACTGATTCTTGCAGAATGGACTGCAGAAAATTCTCTATATAATGCCATGATTCCTTCCTTCCCCAAGAAGGTAAAGGGTTGATTTACTTTTATGAAGAGAAAGCCTTTATCTAGGAGATCCACAGGGCAGGGGCTGGTGGATATGGGAGTATCTGAGGCCCACTCAGTGTGTTTTCTAGTTACCTCATGTAAAGTACCTAGCACAGTGTCTGGAACTTGGCAGCCTGTAAGGAGGCCACTTTAGGGACAGAGAACGTGCAAACTTGGACCTGCCCCTGACTACCCTTGATTAGCTCCTAGTCCCTCTTTTCAGCAGGATTATGGGCTTTCTGCTTCCTCAGTCGGGGGTGTTTTCAACTAATCAAATACCAATAAATTAATGATGAATAAGAAATAATCGATCGGGTCTTGCCTGTGTCGCTAGGAGCGAGAGTGAGGCGGGGCTTTTGAGAGCGGAAGGGGCGTGGCTGGGCTTCCGAGGCGCGGCAGGTTGTTGCCGGAAGCGAACCTGCGGCCTGGAAGAGGAGCTGAGACAGCAGTGCGGCTCCAGAAGCTGCTGCGGGGGCTTACCCTGCTGGCTCCTAACGCGGTACCGAGATGGAGAGCGCAGCTGTACCTGCAGCTCCAGCCCCCACCCTGCATCCGCCTCTGGAGCAGCTTCGGCACCTAGCCGGGGAGCTGCGGGAGCTGCTTCCCGGAGTGCGGGGTGAGCTGACGTAATGGGGACGGGCGACCGCAGGGGCGGGCTTGGGTGGGAAGGGGCCAGGCCTTGGTGGGGGCGGCGGGTCAGGGCAGAGGAGGTGGGGCCGGGAGGTCGTTCCGCTTACCTGTGCTCTTTCGTTTGTCGCCGCCCGGCCCACACCCCACACCCTCTAGTCGGCGAAGCCCAGGAAACCACCAAGGAGTTTGATCGGGAGGCCTTTTGGAGAAGACTCAGTGAGTGCCTCTCCTATTGGAGACTGCTGTCTCTCCTCTCTTCCCTACTCCTTTCCTTCCTGCTTCTCCCCGCCCCAGCCTCTCTAAGGGGCTACTCCTCCTTACCTATCCTTGGTACCTCCGAGATTGAAATATAAAACACTGATTTTTGGAGGTGTTTTTGAGACGTCTCAGCGGGCAGGGGTGGAGAGGGAACGCATTATCTTCAAAATCCGTGCAGCCGTTGCAGCCTTGTCCTTTTGGCACTAACATATTGGCCTTACCACCCGCTCTGTCACCCCACCCAGATGAGGCAGCTGTGACAGTGTCAAGGGAAGCCACGACTCTGACTGTAGCCTTCTCTCGACTTCCGCTGCCATCTCCACAGGTGGGCGTCACTTTTCTAGAATTCTTGTGCTGCTTCAGTATTCCTTCGGAAGCCTCTCATTTTCTTTCCACCTTTTACACTCAAATCTGGGGATTTAATTTCCTCGTCTGTCGAGTAAGATGAAGGTTCTCACACCACAGGATTGTTCTGAAGATCAAATTGTCGAATGCAGTAGTTGTCATGGGGTAGATGGCTCTTCTAAATATTGGTTCATTCTGAAGTTCACCCTGGTTATTTCCTTTTTGACATTTTTTCAAGTACTTTCTGTTTGCTAAGTGTTTTCACATACATGATCCCTTTCTGACAGATGAACAGGCAGGCTCAGAGGCTCAGGTTAAGGTAGCTAAGTAGTGGAGCTAGGTCTTAAATTAGGTTCTCTCTGATGGTTTGAGCTCCATCTTTTCTATTATACTACATAATACTCTTTTGTACTGAATTATATTTATACTTAATAATGTAGACAGTATAAGTTTCAAAAGATATCAAAGTTGAATGTGCCAAAAAGTTTATATCTCCTGTCTCTGGTACCTTTTGTATTATTCCATGTATATGCTATGCATATTCACACTTAAGTGCATATGGTTTCTTCTTTTTACACAAGTGATAAGAGTTTCTGTTGAGAAATCAGCTTGTAACCTTATGGAAGTTCTCTTATATGTTATCTGTCACTTTTCCCTTGTTGCTTTTAATATTTTATCTTTGTCTTTAATTTTTGTCAGTTTGATTACTCTGTACATGCTCAGGACAGTGGTTTTTTCATTCATAGATGAAAAATTAGAATATGGCTTTATATGAATTATATATATTTGAATCACAATTGCTTTCTTAGGATCTCAGCACATTAATTCTGCCAAAGAATGGGTTTGTTTTGTTTTTTTTAATTCCAGTCCTTACAAGGTGGTATTTTAACAAAATTATATGTTTGGATGTTGAAACAATGTCAAATTGACATAAAAGTTTCTAAGTATTCTCAATCGTTGTACCTATCCATCTCAGACTGGTAACAGATCACTTATGGACTGGCACCAATCTGTAGATCACATTTTGTGTAGCACTGGCTTGGAATTTAGCAGAGCAGTGAGGACAAGGAAGATAAGGGAAAGTCAGTGACTGCCTAGAAGGAAAATAGTCAACATTGAGCATTGTAAAGTCCATGCTAATTTCCTTTAGGTATACTGAGATTCTGTTAGAGACAGACAGACAGAGACAGACACAGAGGCAGAGAGATAGACAACTGGTTAATGATCTAAGATAGAGCTGACAGCTTTTCTGTAAAGGGCCAGATAGTAAACATTTTAGGTTTTGCGGCCCAGCTATTCTACTCTGTCTCTGTAGTGCGAATACTATTATAGACAATATGTAAACGCATGAGTGTGGCTGTGTCCCAGAAACATTTTATTTGCAAAAACTGGCAGTGAGCCTGATTGGGCCCTTGGGCTCTAGTTTGCCAACTCCTGGTCTAAGATATGGTGAATATCTCAAAGCCAATCACAGATATCTTGGGATATAGAGTATCAGGGATGTTTTTCCTACAGTTTCTTCATGTCTTACTGAGTTTCTGCTCAGTATCTGGTATCCAGCTAACTCTTCCCTGGTATGTGATGAGAACAGCACTGGTGCATAATAGGACTTCAGAAAATGTTTGATGATGCCGTACAGATGTCTGCTCTTTTCCCCTGTAGATGGCTTGACCACATCGATCTAATCCATTTCTTTTTCTGTTTCTGAAATTGGTTTATCATCTCATAGGAAACCCAGAGGTTCTGTGAACAAGTGCATGCTGCCATCAAGGCGATTATTGCAGTGTACTCTTTGTTTCCCAAGGATCAGGGTAAGCCACTCCATACACATAAGTGTTCAGTTTATGGGGTAGATCTTTGCTAATGTGACAGCTTATGTCCTGACAATTTTACCTTTTCCTCAATTTGAGCATGTAATGTAACTTTGTCCCATTAGGTGCAGTCAAAGGTAGTTATATAAGTGACCTCCTTAAGTAAGCCTTTGTGCTAAAGTTTAGATACTGTGTTCTCATGTCCCCTGCTTTACCTGACTCTTAAGGTTTTTAATTCTCACTGGCTTCTCCGTCTCCTAACGCATTATAATCACCACAGATACTGCTTGGTTATCAGTGCCATCCCCAGGCTCCTCCTCTTCATCACATGCTGTTTCTGAGCTCCCTTATAGGTTAAGTGGCCCCCAGCTCTGCCTGTATATTCGTGTCTTGATTATTACCAGGTTACAATTATAATTATAAATGAATACATGTCTCATGGATCTTCAGGGTTACTCATGTGGTTTAAACTTGAAGTGTTTTATCCACAAATGTCAAGAAATCACTATTGTAAAAAATATTTATTATTTTATTTATTTGGCTGTGCCAGGTCTTAGTTGCGGCAGGCACGATCTTCAGTCTTTGTTATGGCATGCAGGGTCTTTAGTTGCAGCATGTGAACTCTAAATTGTGGCATGTAGGATCTAGTTACCTGACCAGAGATTGAACCCTGACCCCTGTGTTGGCAGTGTAGAGTCTTAGCCACTGGACCACCAGGAAAGTCCCAAGAAACTACTTTTTAATGAATGAATACATGCTGTCATGGAACGATTTTGTTTCAGATCTCTTTTGGAAAATACCACTAAGGAATGGTGGGAGGAGCAAGCAAATGACATGGGGATATACATAAGAGCTGGGTTTTGTGTTGGCACTCCAGTTAAAGCATGTGGGTGCACATTACCTCAAATTCTGTAGAGCTTAGATTCTCGGGAAGACTTTCCAGACTTCTGGAAAGACGAACAGGCTGCTTAGTCTTTGGGTCTGGCTACAGGCATCACCCTGCGAAAGCTGGTGCGGAGCGCCACTCTGGACATCGTGGATGATATGGCTCAGCTTGTGGAAGCACTTTACATCAATCCAGCCCAGAGGTAGTGATGCCACAGCTGGAGTTATTGGGTAATGGGGTTCTTTGCTTCTGGGAGGGGGGAAAATGTCATTTTAACAGCATAGTTACTGATAACTGAGATTAATGACCAGCAGGAAGGACCTTTGTAGGAAACAGGAACCCAGGTTATTGATATATCCTTATTGATTCCTTTCAGCAGCCCTGAGAACCTGATTTCCTACAACAGTGTTTGGGATGCGTGCCAACATGTACCTCAGATCCCAAGAGGTGGGTGAGAGTGGAAAGTAGACATTGACCCTGCTGGCCAAAGCTGACAGACCTCACATTTAGCTGCCAGTTTTGCAGTATGTATGTCTTTTTACTTATGTAAAGAACAGTGAAATAGGTCTAGTTTATCACCAACATGAAAAGATAGGTATTAATTCTTTTTGTCAGTCTTTTTAGTTCACATAACTTCTAAACTCAAACAACCTCTGTCTCTGTCTCTTGTTGAACAGATGTGGTTTTCTCTTCTGGTCCTGCCCCAGGGGCAGTATTCTGGGGACACTGAAGCAGTTATGGGGTAGAGCCTGCTAGGCCCAGAGCAGTGGTCATCCAAGGGTACCTTGCTGAGAAACATCATGTGACCATTGTATTTCTTCCTATGGTGAATGACAGAAAGCTTTTTAGCCCCCCTGTCTGGGCACCCAGAGGATGTATATGAGAAGAATTTTACATTCAACTGCTGCCCTTGTTTGCTGTCTTTGGCACTCTCTTCAGATGAGAACACTGTTGCTTTTTGCAGATTTAAGAGAATTGTTTGGATTCTCTATTAACTGTAGTGCTTCTGATTCTTCACTCATAGATAACAAAGCTGCAGCCCTTTCAGTGTTGACAAAGAGTGTGGATCTTGTGAAGGATGCACATGAGGAGATGGAGCAGGTGAGAGGACCTCTTTCTTTGATGGTCATTGGAAGGCCACTCTGTGTCTAGTAGATGAGGATTGGTTATAAAGAGAGATGTGTTAAGTGTGGACCACATGGGTCCCCCCTCACTCCCATCCTCCATCACCCATCTTCCCCCGCCCCATGTGGGGGTGTGATTTGTACCATTCCTTTCTGTTCCATTGCTGCACTAGGAGAGTTAGAACAGCATGTGTGAGATGATTCAGCTCTGTAGCCATTTAGGGAAATAGCTGGCTGAAGTTTGGGGACAACTCAGACATGATGCTAAAAGTATTAATACTTTTTTTCCCCCTAGCATTCACATATATCATCTTGTATCTTAGGCTGTGGAAGAATGTGACCCTTACTGTGGACTCTTGAATGACATTGAGGAGGACGGCTCTGACAGCCATGTTGGTGAGGAGGATATATTGGGATGTCCAAACAATCGGGATTCATATTGGTCAGAGGAAGACCAGGAGCTCATAATCCCATGCCTTGCACTGGCGAGAGCATCCAAAGCCTGCCTGAAGAAAATCCGGCTCTCAGTGGCAGAGAACGGAAAGAAGGATCAAGTGGCCCAGCTGGATGACATTGTGGACATTTCTGATGAGATCAGCCCTAGGTAAGCTTGACCTCCACTCAAAACATCCAGGTAGCAGCATTCTGATCTCAACTTGTGCTGTCACCTGAAGGTTTTTCCCCATCTTTTTGTTTTGAAAGTTTTCAAACCTGCAGGAAGGGTTAAAAAGTATTGTAGTGAGTACCTGTACTTCCATCTAGGTTCACCTATTGTTCACTTTTTTTTTCTGTATTGGTTTATTTCTCTGTAATTAGATGTGCCTTTTTAAAAACTGAAATAGATGTGCTATTTTTATCCCTGAACCATTTGTGAGTAAGTTGCAGACATCAGTGATGTTTTCCCCTGAATATTTCAGCATGCATTTCCTAAAAACAAACAGTTTTACTCTTAGTATTACATTTAAGAAATTTACATTGAATATGTGTTTGTGTGTGTTAGTTGCTTAGTCGTGTCCGACTCTTTGCAACCCCGTGGACTATAGCCTGCCAGGCTTCTCTGTCCATGGAATTCTCCAGGCAAGAATACTGGAGTGGGTTACCATTCCCTGATGATAAAGATTATACTGAATATAATAATATTATCTAATATTCAGATTTCCCCAGTTGTCTCTAAAACATCTTCTATAGCTTTTTTGTTTGTTTAATTCAGGGTTCTGTCAAGGGGTCATACTGCATTTGGTTGTCTTCTCTTTTGGTATCTTGTAAGTAAAATAGTCCCTGTCCTTTTTTAGCTTTTTTTATCATTGACATTAAAAATTTTTTTAAATTTTCTTGACATTTTTAAAGAATCCAAGTCAGTTGCATTGTAGAATATCCAGCAATCTGGATTCATGTGATTGTTTTCTCATAATTATATTCAGGTTAAACATTTTTTGGCAAGACTATCACTTAGTTGAGTGTTTCATGCTTTTCATTGCATCATATTGGAGAGGCATATGGTATTAGTTTGTCCTGTTTCTGGTGGTACAGCACTAACTTGATTGCTTGATTAAAGTGGTGCCTACTTTAGTGGCATTCAGGGATGAACCCTGCCTATATCAGTTATTAAACTTATGGTTTCAGATCCTAACATTTTAAACTGAATTAATAATGTCCCATCCTACTGGCCAAAGGAGTTCCCCTCCACCCTCAACTTGTTAGTAAAACAGGGTATGTATGTGTTCCAATAAATACCAGTTGAATTGGTTATTTATTGGTTGCCCAGTTTAAGGAACTGATGCATTTCTGGGAATTATTTCCTCACTCATTGCATCCTTAGTTGTGTCCTGGAGACCACCTAGCTGAGCTTTGTTCCTTCTTGGTTAATGGTTATTTTTTCTTTCTCCCTTCAGTGTGGATGATTTGGCTCTGAGCATATACCCACCTGTGTGCCCTCTGACTGTGCGAATCAGCGTAAGTACTGGCTATGAGGGAATAGCTGCAGACCTAATTGGTAGAATTTCAGTAATCACTGATGTTTCCTTAAACTGTGGGGAATATGTTTATTTGTTACACTTGGATGCAAGTACAATAGTAATGTCACAATGTGTTTGTGCTTGATAAATATTTGTTGAATTTGAATTCTGATAGCAATGAGTTCCGATAATACTCTCTCTTCCATAACCACTTGGGTAATCATTTAGAAAAACCCAAAGACCTTAGAGGGGCTTCTTTGGTGGTGCTAGCGGTAAAGAACGAACCTGCCAGTGCAGGAGACGTAAGAGACATGGTTTGATCCCTGGGTCAGGAAGATCCTTTGGAGGAGGGCATGGCAACCCACTCCAGTATTCTTGCCTGGAGAATCCTGTGGATGGAGAAGCCTGGCAGGCTACAGTTTATAGGTTCGCCAAGAGTCAGACACAGCTGAAGTGACTCAGCATGCATGCACCCAAAGACCTTAGAAAACCATACCTTGAGAGAAAGTGTTAATTAGTACAGTGCTTTAGGATTCTTTCAACGTGAAGTTACAAGTTTCCAATTTCCAGTATAGGCCAAAATAGGTGTTTAGAAACATACTCTATTCTAATATCGACATATTATGTGATTTAACCATGAGTGGTCATGAAGGGTTAAACTCTTTATAAAAATCTGATTTTATTGTTTTCTTTGAAGTCCTAGGTCCTGTGCTAAGAGTTCTGTTCTCTCTTTTTTTTTCTTTTAATAAACTTTAAGTTATTATGTCTCATTTTATTGGAAAGAGAAGTAAGATTGCAGATAGCTTATATTTTACCATCAGATGTATCAGTCCTAATAATATTTGGTAAATTAGATAGTGGAAATTATTAATAGAGTCATCAAATGTATCTTCACAATGTGGAAACACCTTGTAGTAGAATTAGGATCCTTTTGAACATTAACTTTTTTTTCACATTCACTTTTAATTGACTTCTGAAGAAATAAACATCCTTAGTAATACGCCATGTCAGTTACCCTAAAAGCAGTTTTAAGGAATGCATGGTATATTGGTAGCATACATACATCTTTATGTTATCTTGTTATTGGTATTCTTAAAATTTTAAGTTTTTTAAAAAAACCCAGTTGTTTCTGCTGTATATATCCAGAACTATCAGCAGTTAGGACAAACTTGGGTTATATTTTTCCTTTTTTTGTTTTCTTTAAAATTTAAATATAAAAAAGCTTATAAATATGCTATGGCAGCAGTATTAATAAGATTTTGCTAGATAGAAAAGAGTCCATGATCCTGCCACCTAATCAACATTTTTGTTTTTGACTGTTTCCTCCAAGGTTTTTTTTTAAATGACTTCTTATTACTTGAATATTAAACTACTATAATATTTTAACTCTCCTCCTTCCTTTTTTCTACTTTCACTTTTTAAAAATTGACTTCTTGTCCCAGCTGCTGATAGTTCAGGATATATATAGCAGAAGCAACTGTTTTTTTTTTTTTTTTTAACTTACAGAATTTTAAGAATACCAGTGACAAAATAACATGAGGATGTATGAATGCTACCAATGTACCATGCATTCCTTAAAATTGTTTCTAGGGTAACTGACATGATGAATTGCTAAAGATGTTTATTTCTTAAGAAGTCAGTTTTTAAAAAGTGAATATAAAAAAAGGGGGGGAAGAGAGCTAAAGTATTAAATATTCTAATACTCAAGTAAAATATTTTAGCTCTTCCGCCCCCCCCTCCCCCTTTTTTCCTCCTTTCTGTGTTTTACCTCCTTTTCCTTTTTTTTCCCCTTAATATTTGTTTTATTTGTTTGGCTGTGCTGAGTTTTAGTTGTGCCCCGAAGTATCTTGGGTCTTTGTTGTGGCATGCAGGATCTTTTAGTTGTGGCCTGTGGGGTCTACCTCCCTGACCAGGGATTGAACCCAGGCCGCCTGCACTGGGAGCTCAGAGTCCCAGCCACTGAACCTCCAGGGAAGTCTTCTCTCCTCTCCTTTTTGTGGTAGGGCTCAGGGTGAATAACTTCTCTTGTTTCTTTTTTTTTCTAGTCTGCAAAACTTGTATCCGTTTTAAAGAAGGCACTTGAGATAACAAAGTGAGTATGAAGACTTATCCCCAAGCCTGTGCAACCATTCTCAACTCCCAAACCCCCATTTCAAAGAGCAGAAAGTGAGTGCAGTGTTTTCTTTCAGCTTTGCTTATGGAGCAGCTGAGTTTCTGCAGAGAAACTTGCCCTCTTTTATTGTAGTTTTCCCTATGCTCCCTTTTGAGGATAGGTCTTTTCCTTGACAGTATAATAAGTTTAACTTCTCTTTTTCCCATTGCATTCACAGAGCAAGTCATGTGACTCCACAGCCAGAAGATAGTTGGATTCCTTTACTTATTAATGCTGTTGATCACTGCATGAATAGAATCAAAGAACTCACTCAGAATGAAGTTGAATCATGAATTTTCGGGCTCATTTGAACTCTTTTTCTTATTGTCACAGCTGAGCTCTGATGTCTGCTTTTAGAAAGGAGCTGGGATGCTTTCTGGATTGGAAGGCAGTTCCTATCTATACTTATTAAGAGACACAATTACCAAAGTTTGGTGATTAGGCCAAACTAGCAATCATTTATAAACCATATGAGTATGATATATTTTTCTGTGCTAGATGCAAAAGGCAATTACATGAGTTTTTGTTATTCAGTTGCCTCTCAGAGATCCCTGGGGAAGCTGCCTTATTCCCTATTCAATAAGATGTGTCATTGTCAAAGATATATTTTAGCATGTTACTGAATATAATTCTTCTTTCCAGCAAGTTCTTTTGAATGTTATTCCAGTTTGTTCCATTACTCTCTTGGTATTGAAGGACTTTCTCAGTGGCTCAGCAGTGAAGAATCTTCCTGCAATGCAGGAGACGCAGGAGACAAGGTTCAATCCCTGGGTTGGGAAGATCTACTGGAGAAGGAAATGACAACCCACTCCAGTATTCTTGCCTGAAAAATCCCTTGCTCAGTCATGTCTGACTCTTTGCAACCCTGTAGACTATAGCCTGCCAGGCTCCTCTGTCTTAGCGATTTTCTAGGCAAGAGTACTGGAGTGGTTTGCCATTTCCTTTTCCAGGGGATCTTCCCAACCCAGAGATCAAACCTGAGTCTCTCATTTCTCCTGCATTGCCAGGCAGTTTCTTTACTAGTGCCACCTGGGAAGCTGGAAAATTAATAAAGTGAAACCTTATTTAAAATGGAGTTGAGAGGCCAGAAGGAGGAGCTCTCACAGTGTTACTCTAGGTAAATAACAGGAAGGATTGTCAATTATAGATAGGAATGTACACCTATAGATAGGTGTACATTTTATCTCCTTCAGGAAATAGACCCTAGCTGCTAAGCTAATTAGGGCCCCTCACCCTGAACTCTCGCTTTCCTCCGTGAAATTTTGTTCAAAACAACTGCTCCCAACTTCCTCCCTTTCCCTCCTTTGTTTGTGGGACTTGGCTGTGGCTTTTACTGTAGCTGGCTTGACCCTAATTGCAGTTGTTTGTTGTTCCCAAATAAACCTGTTTCGCTGGTAAAATAACTGGCTGTTTCATTTTTTAGGTCAACAAGCTCAGTTGTTAGGTCTGTTCACTGTATTGAACAGACTTATTTTCCTTATACATATTTACATTGTTCTCTGTTTTGTATTGCCTGTCCCCAAATGTAAGTACAAAATTTTTATAAATCAAAAAATTTTGAATGTATAAGAGAGCTTATATAATATTAAGGGCCTCTTCAGTTAATTCTTTTGCAAAACCATCACCAGTTAATTATATTTTTGTGCCAGTCTGGAAGATCACATATTGGAAAGCAAGGTAAACCTGGAAAGTAACATCTTAGAAAGCAGGGTATACAGTTCTATACCTGGCTAGGCCTTATGCATGTCCTGCAGGTCTCCACTCTTCTACTGGCAGTCCTTTGTCTTGTATAGATGTACTCCATCACATCTGCCCTTCTGACATCCCCGTGGTCTCTTTAGGTGCAATCAGCAACAGTAGCTGTCCTTTTTTTATTCCCACCACCCCTTCTTTTTTGTTATGTTCACTAATTTGTTATATTTTTTAGATTCCACATATAAGTGATATCATACTGTATTTATCTTTCTCTGTCTGACTTTTTTCACTTAGCATAGTACCCTGTAAGTCTAGCAGCTAGTCTTGAGAGAATACTGTGTACTTGAGGCTGAAATTCTTTGAGTCAAAAGTTTTACTTTAATAAAGTGCCATTCTGTACTTGTTAACAAGTATTACAAAGAAAAGGTACTAAAACCGAGAGTATCAAAGCAACAAAATAGAAACAATGAAAAAAAAATTTAACTTTGTACAAGAGGAGTCCAGTTTTTTTCGTAGGTCCTATTTTCTTTATACTTAATAATTGTGTATTTCTCTACTGGACCAAATTCATGTTAACATCACACTTAATTGTGGAATATTTAACATTTTCATATTTAAAAATTTTCATGTTTAGTATTATGAAAGCATAATATTCAGTTCTAATAAGGACTTATCCATAGCTGAATATTGAAGAAACACTCAGGTCTTATGCTGTGTATTTTACAACTTTCTTTAGTCATCTTTGAATCTTTAAGGATAATGGTCAGGGATAGCATTGATCAATATAATCTTAGGATTGTCTAAAAATCATATTTTTAGTTAATGTTGTCCCATTTCATCAGAAATACAAGAGTGCTTTAAATATTAGGTTATTTTCCTTACCTGTAAATGAATGTATGTATTAGTGAATAGTAAATGGTTATGAAAAACCCTGAACTAAAAAAAAGTCTTAATTTACTTATCTGAATACCTTTATAAAGGCTTTTTAAAAAATTTCTCGAGCCCAGTAGTTTCTGTTTTAAGACAGCTAGTCTTCATAGGTGCCTTGAGCTGGGGTGACAGAAATGAATGTTTTTTCTGTTGATTTCTGAGAGTATAAGTTTTTTTGAAGTGGGGAATCTAGTTTTGTTCTTGGTCCTCTCCTGCTCAACCGGAGCAGAGAATCATTTGTCTGATAAGCAAAGTTTCTCTTCCTAGCATGCTTGGTTTTAGATTGTAGATTCAGGAGGTGGTTGGGGAAAGTGATGCTGGAGCTGGAAGTTTAAGCTGGAGGTTTACGGGCTACCACTGTGACAGTTCTGAAGTTGGTTAGGTTCTGGAACATGTTGCAGTCCATTTCCACAGTGAGCCTCTGGCACCCCACCTTCATTGGCGTGAACTCAACTTGGGTGCGCAAAGTGTTTCTGGGCTGCACCGAATTCACTCTGAAATAAAAGAAAAGGTAAGTCTTAGTTCTGCTGCAGGGCCATTCCTTTGCTGGTCCCAGTGAATCTGATCCTTACCTGCTTACAGAGGTGGACCCTGAAGAAATAAACTTGTAAGTACCCAGCTGTTAAAACAGAGGAGGTTTGAAGCGGGTGGAAGGCAGGAGCCTCCATGGTGAGCAGCTGTATGGTTGAGAAGAGAAATATCCTATTCTAAGGGTTTCCAGGTTGCATCTGTTGTTTCATCACCTGTGACTTCAGTCTGGTCCCATTCTTGGTAATAGTAGGCTTGTGAAAACTATGGTTTTGGAAGCCTCATTGCTAACTGCAGTGGGTGTAGTGGGCATAGTTGATGTCAGGATGCCAGCAGGTGGCATTTGGAGCTCTATCAGCAGCTTTCTTGTCTACCTGTGGACCTTCTTACGGTGACTGAGCCAATGGTACAGATTTCTTTTGAGAAGGTTTGCCTTACAATTTATCTGGGAGACCACAGAAGTCTGGTTAAATGCTCGCAGTCCTTCCTCTCAACTATGACCAAGAGTGACTGACTGAGTTTCTTGAGGCTGAGGTGGTGGCTCAGCAACCACACAACCTGTCAGGGACCTCGGGGTTGTAGGAATAGGCATCGTGAACTCTAAACTGTATGTGTGTGTTTAGTGGAGGATGCTGTGGACCTCAGGAGAGAAGGAGCAATAATTAACAAAGATACTTGCAACATCTAAAGCCAACAAGGTGCGGATAACCTAGATTATATAGGGTTTGTGTGTATAAATATATGTGTGTGTATATATATATACACCCACAGATCAACAAGGAAAAAGAACAGCAAAAGAAAAGTGGGCAAAGTTAAGAAACTATACAGAGGAGGAAATGGAAAAGGCTAACAAACATATGCTGCGATTCATGGGGTCGCAGAGTCGGACACAACTGAGCGACTGAACTGAACTGAACAGACATATGAAGAGTTGCAAGTTAAAACAATGATGAGATGTTACCTTATTCCTGTTAGACCAGATTAAAAGAGAAAACAGTATTGCCAAGAGTGGAGGAATGGTAGGAATATAGAAGCTGTCAAGTACTGCTGGAGGGAACCGCAGCCATTCTGCAAACCAATCTGATAGCATGTGGTCAAACCAGGTCTTATCCTGTGTCTCAGCAACTCCATTCCTGTGCCTTTATCCCCCACACATGAATTTTCAAGCAGGTTTATAAGGGGATATGTGTATTTGTGGTGTCTGAGTGTTGGAGGCACTGTGGAGTGGTGTGGTAGGAAGCAGGGGTATACATTATGGAGTGATTTGTAGCAGAAGCAATGGACTTGACATGTGGATGAGTGAAAAACAGTTCTAAGTGAAATGAATTAGACATAACGTTTATATATAGTTTAAAAATACAGGCTCATGATGCAACAGTACACATTTTACGCATACTAAGACAAGGGTATGAAGAGTGGTGGTGGGAATGGGAGTAGGGAATAGGAATAAAAGGGAATGTGTAAATAAAATTCTGTATTGTGCTGTCACTAGTTGAATGCAGCTCTTTCCTGTGATGTTCCCTAACCCCCTCACCTGTGCTCATCAGTAATACCCAGGCCCTCTCTGCGTGACCAGGGCCTCAACCAGCGTCAGGTGCCCAAGGGGCACAGAGCCTCCCTCTCTCCTGTACCCTTGTAAGCATTGGTGGCCCCGGGGTGAGAGAGGTCCTGATCTTTTAGTTCAACTCTGGCCGGTACTTGCTCTGTCTTCATGGACACAGCAAACAGTGTCATCAGTCTTGGGTTCCTGCCATTCTTTACTATTTGAGCCACCAGGGAAGCCCAGGTGCTTGCCTTTCTGACAGGCTGAGATACTTCTGTGGGATGAGAAGCTTGTAGACTCTTACCTGTAGCTCTTCTCTCTGTAAATGAGCCCCCTTCCAAAGATGGAGATCACACAGTCTTCCAAGGGAACATCGAGGGGGTTATGGATGCTGACCACGACCGTCAGGGGCTGATGCTGCTCTGCTGTCTCTGGCATCTGGGGGTGGGGGGGGGATCCCAAGAGCATGGAGCTGCAGTCACTCCTTCCCCTCCTAGCTACCCTCCCGGAACCCTTTCTTGGTTATTCTCCTATCTCTACCATCCTCACCTAAACTCAACTGCTGACTTCCCTACCCTCTGCTTGATCTTCTGTATTTACTTTCACCCTTGATCCATCACTGACAACACTGATGGTGCCTTTCCTTCACTTGGAAACCTTGGAAGGTTTCCCATCGTCTTCAGAATTCAGCTTTGGTTGGCCTTCAGAGCCCTCCACGATCTAACCCCAACCTATCCCAGGCTCATCTGTTCTACCCCTGACTACAACCTAGCCTCTGGGCAGTTTCCCAGCCCCAGCACAGCCCTCAGGCTCCCTTCCTCTGGGCCTCTTTTCTCAGTCTTCCGTCTGCAATGGCCTTCTCCCTCCGCTGCACTGAAAGCTTACCTACTGTTCAAAGCCTGACACAA